CTTAATTTGAAGGGACTTGATGGTTAGCTAGTTAACATGACTCGACTTAACCCAAATGATGAACAGAATATACCTTTACTCGGCACTTGACGTACCTTCAACTCCGCGCACACAAAATTCTGCTGCGGTGTTTCCTGTCTTTGCTGTTGGATTCTTGCACTCTTAACTGTACAAAAAAAAAAATGATCTTAATTAATTATTCAATCAAACGATATACTTTATGCTAATTTCTGTTTCGGAATGATTTAATGGGATAATTGATATAATTTTGGTTATTTGAGCGGAATAATCTTGCTAATACTCGCAATTCTTATTTGTGCAGTAATTTGGGATGTATAAATTGCAAAAAACTAACCTGCAATGTCTAAACTGTCTAATGTCTATTCTGCAGAACATCAGGTAAACATTCAAACCATTACAATCGTTAGGGTAAATTAGATTTCTTTGATCCATGTCCCTTAGTCTGGAATTATGATACTCCATACTATTTTAGAATGTCCGAAGAAAATTGTCAAGGAATATAGTATGCTTGTATTTACTCCATACAAATATACAATATTGATTTGAGCAAATTGCTAATTTAATAATTTAGGGAATCATGTTAAATTTTTAATTACGTACGTAGGGTTGCGATGACTAGTAACTATGAGTAGAGGAAGTGTATTAATCCTGTTAGTTAACATTAGTGTTGGCCAAAATGCAAGTGAAAATTTACTGATAAAGTTTAGTTTTTTTTTCTTGATAATCATGAGAATTCTAACGGTTGTAAGATACTAATATGTTAAATTGTTGGCCTGTTCTCATTGACTGAACTCAGCTGAGCTGAACTGAACTAAACTGAATATTTTATAAGAGGAGGAAATTAGGAGATAGCTGAATTGAACTGAAAATAAACGTATGAGAACAGGCCCTGATCATTGATTGATGGAGTTGTGTTTGTAAGTAAGATCTAGGGTGCATTCTGTTCGCTTTCAAAAAGATAAGTTTCGGGGCTAATCAGGTGTAAACATAACTCAGGGCTAATGAGGTCTTACTAGATCTAATAAGACAGGTTCGGGTGAAGAGAACACATCATTAATCAGCTAATTAATTGGACTCTTTGTTGAGGCATGTCCTCTGTTGCAAGAACTCACACTAGAGGTATTGCTAATATAGTGTATAAATTCTTGAATCATCTCATAGTACCAGAGGCATTACCTTATTTTGGTTTCTACCTACATTTTTATGTGCAGCATGAATGATTAATTAATGGGTTTTGCAGATCAAATGGGGTTGTGATTGTGCTATGAAGTCGACTTTTAACAACATTACAAAGTCAGGTGATGGTTTAACAACAGCACAGGATGGGATCAATAGTTGCACCCTTCCTCATTTGAAGAAATTTGAGTTGGATGGACCATTTCGATCTAGCAGCCATGTTGATCATGAGTATTCATTCGCGTTATACATCATCAAAAATGCCATAAATCTTGGAAATTTTTTGTGTGATACTAGTGCCTCTGAGTTAAAGTTCCATGAAATAGCAGATTCGTCTAAGGAACAACAAATTGGTGCAGCTAAAAAATTGATCCGAGGACGGCTTAAATCGATGGTTTTACTAGCTAGTTTTACACTTTTACTAAGGTGAGCTATTAGATGGTTTTACTAGCTAGTTTTACACTTTTACTTATAGGTGTTACCTCAACAAAATCTTATAATTCTACATAATCATTTTATGTTTTTCTAATTTTAATATGAGAATGTGAAAACTCGAATATAATGGTGATTTGTTTGGATAAGGGCCTCAACAACTTGATCCGAGGACGGCTTAAATATAATGGCTGCCAACTCGTCACAAACATATTTTACGAGCTTAAGCAAATCAACTTGATGTATAAAATGTAGGCATGAGCAGGGTCAACTTCCTGGCTCCTGCATACTTGAGCTTGCAAAGCTAGTTAGCGTACATGTTAATTTCAAGCCGTATAAGATCTGGAAATCGGAAGCTAGGAAACAGGAGAAGATTAACAATATACGCTGTATATTAATTGAAAGTAGAAAAATGACATTATGATATTAATTGATGTGAAATTTTATTGTAACCTTCTTTTTACATTGGAAGATTGAGATAATGTGACAACTAATTTTAAACAAACGAGTTGTGGAGGAGGTTGACTTTTAAGTACTCGATCTACTAAGTCAATAACAACTACATGTTTACAAGTTATTTCACAGATTGATGTTCTGATCTTCATCTTTTGAACAGATAATGTGTCTTTAAAATATCATTTTTCATAAATCAACTTGGATTTTGTTAATGATTAGTACTCTGTACTAAATTACTTCTTATACAACCTCATATATATTTATCATCCTACATACCCAAACTCATAGCACTTACTTCAAAATTCAGATCATCAACATTGACAAATCTATTTGTTAGCAATGAAAGCAGAGGTTTACAAAGCCGCGGTTAGGGGAGATGTGAGCATCATCAATGGTGATGGCGCGGCCACAGAAAGTGAGCTGCAGTCCCTAACCTCCGGAAACAGCAACATCATACACATAGCAGCAATGCACGGTGAAGCAGAATTCATTGGAGAAGTTCTAAAGAAGCTACCAGAGGCAGAAAACCACGTAAAACAAAAGAATACCAAAGGCGATACCCCTCTTCATTTAGCTGCAAGACATGGACACAAGGCTGCTACAATGTTACTAGCTGCTACTAATCCAAACTACCTGTTGATAGCTCAAAATGAAGATGGGGATACCCCGTTGCACGTTGCTCTCAGGTACGGCGTTGTAAGTTTGATTCCTGACCTTTGGAAGAAGGTTGATGCTCTCTCTGTGCTCAATCATTCTAAGGAGACTCCGCTCCATATGCTTATTAAATGCAAACCAAGTAAGTCCCTCTTATATAATATGCTTGACATGTCAACAGTTTGTTTGGTAAGCGAATACATTTTTTTTGTAAGGATAGTTTTATGCAAATTCTCTTAAACATTTCTTCTAAATTGCTAGAATATAAGGGTGGGTGTGGATGTGTGGTTTGGAATTTTATAATATCTCTTTTTGAATTTTTATACAATATAAATGTTATGTCTAATATGGAGTAGAAATTTGCAAATACTTAGATTAAAGTGAGATTATTTGGGCAATGTCATATTATTAGAGTTTTTATTGGCCATTACATTGGTATTGTTAGATCCGGAACTCATGATTATGCGTAATAGCATACAATGAAATCTTGGCCTAGTGGTTAAGATTGAGGTCCCGTGTACATTAACTCACAGCCTTCACAGGTTCAAACCTCTCATAAAATTCTTTGTTTTGTTATTATAGCCATTGTAAATCATTTGCCCTCAAATCCAACCTCGTCATTACGAGTTGGGATGCTTAACTCCGAAGGTGTATCATCCTATCCAATGTCATATTTTGCAAACAACACGTTGGAAATTGCATTGAGACGCTTCCTAGAGTTGCACAATGATGCTGCATGCTGCCGCGATGCAGAGGGCCTCACACCACTACTAAGAGCAGCTCAAATTGGTTTTTTCGCTGCTGTGAAAGTCATACTAGAATGCTGTCCTGAGTCTGTTGATGTTTATGATCCCAAGGGAAGAACTGTATTACACTATGCACAATTTTCAGCTTATTCAGAGCTCCAACAGTTGTTCTCGTTTCCTGAGATTGATGGCCTTAAGAATGTAAAAGACCGCGAGGGGAACACACCTGCACACATTGCTGCAAAAAACAGAAACCTATTACTTTTGAAGTTTTTACATGAATCCATTGCAGACTTTTCTCTCAAGAACGATGAGAATATGTCAGCTGATGAGCTAATTGACTCCCAAGGAGGGTTCTTTGGCAAAATGGTAAGTATGTCTTATGCAACTTGTTGGTTAATTGTTCATTGTTTTGTTCTAAGTTACCAAAATGATATGTTCAGATTATACTGATAAGTTTGCTTATGAAACACTCAGTATCTATGATTTAAATCTGATAGAGTTACTCAAATTCACATCTAAAATAAGTTTAGACAAAATGTAACCAATTCTGACAAGTTAAGAGATTATCAGTACATGAAAAATGATTTTGCTACTGTTATGTTGTAAGAATCTTTTTTAATTTTCTCATTTATAAAACAAAATTTTCATGTATTTTGATCATTTAACTTGTAATTGATCAGAAACTTTGCTTTCAAATGCAGGAGGGAACTATATTTAACTCTTTTACTGACAAATGGATGGATAAGGAGTTGTATGAAGCAGCTGCAGGGACAGGAGATGTGACAATCTTCGATAGAAAGGATACAACTGCAACAAACGATGTAGATGGTAGCGAAATTAAGTATGATAAGGGCTACTTTCTGTCTCGAACACCCAATGGAAGCACCATCCTTCATCTAGCCACCCAAAATGGTCATATTGCATTTGTCAAGGAAACTCTCAAGCATTTTCCCACCTTCGTTCTCTCAAGAGACTTCAATGGCGATACTGCTGTACACATTGCTGCTAGGTTCATGAGCCTTGCAGCTGTAGTCATGGTTCGTTGTTTTGATGAGTGCTGTCGCGAACTCAAGGAAATAAAATTAGAGGGTGTTGTTAGTCTCCTGCAACCGTGGGTAACCAAAAACTCCAAAAGCAACACTGCTATGCATGAAGCAGTGCGTGTTAGCAATCATATTGTTGCAGAAGTGTTGTCCAAAATATGTCCTGCCCTCTCTCAAATGACAAATGATGCTGGAGAAACACCACTGCATATATATGCAAGATATGCTGCATATACTGGTAAACTCCTACTTGCAATCTTAACACTATAATATACTCGTTTTTTCAATAACAGTTTTCCCTTCATCCAATATTAAGTGTTACATAAGACTTTTTTAAGCCAAAGTTCAATATTCTGGCCTGTAATTACTATCATTGTGTGAGATCTTGTTAGATACATCTAATTTGCCTACTTTAAAATTATTTGCTACTTACTTAAATTCCACATACATGGTACAGTTGAAGATAAACTAGAAATATTCGTCTGTAGGCGGTTGTGGCCTACTTCTCCTGCCTACACAAAGGATGTGGATGGTTTCACCCCTATTATGAGAGCAGCTCAGTCTGGCCGAATTCGAGTTGCTCTGTATATACTTCAAGCCTGCCCTCAATCAATGGAAATTCGCGATTGCAAGGGAAGAAATTTTCTACATTACCTCAACATTAAGCATCTTGAGCTTCTTGATGGCTCTGAGGACCTATCTTATCTGTGTGGAGATTTCTTTGAAATCTTTCCTGCAATTGATAGCCTGAGAACTGCTCAAGATAAAGATGGAAATACACCCTTGCATTTTGCTATTAAAACTGGCAACTTGTTGACTGCAAAACTCTTGATGCAAAGATGTCTTCAATCTGAAGAAAGGGCGGAACTAGCCATCACCAACAATGATGGTTGCTCAGTTTTCGAATTACTTGCATCACAACCGAGTGTATGTCTCTCTTTTAAAACATCTGTTTTAGACATAAGAGCAATTAAAAATCTCTTGATTTTAGATTGGTGTGATCTAACTTGTTCTAGTCTGATTTTCCCATATGGTCTGTCAGTTCTGATCTAATCTGATTTCGTAAATGCAGGAGGACATAGAAGAGATGTCAATTTTGAACCAGAAGCATTTAATAGAAACAGTCCGTGTGAAAAAATTTATGGACAGAGAGCTATACATAGCTGCAATGCAGGGGGATGTGACACTGTTCAACAACATTGAGAATAAGTCCTATTTCCTCACTCGAACACCAGATGGAAGCAATATAGTTCATATAGCTCTCAGACCAGGGAAAGACGATACATCAGCATTTGTTGAGGATGCTTTAACCCGCTTTCCAACTCTCATCTATAAAACTGACACCAATGGGGATACACCATTTCATGTAGCAGCAAAGTGGCACAGCCCTGCTTCAGTAAAATTATTGGAAAACCTACCAAAGTATCATCAAAATGCTATAAAAGTGAACAGTCGAAGTGTTTATATTCCTCCATGGAAGATCAAAAATTCTAAGGGTAATATGCCTATACATGAGGCATTGTGTACCAACAATATGCATGCTGCTATATTATTGATATGTCAAGATCCTGAAGGAGGTTCACATGTTAATGATGCCGGAGAGACCCCTCTTCATACTTTTGCTAGGTGTAGCAATTGCTCAAGTTAGTCTCCGACTCTATTACCTTAGCTAGTTTCTTTTCTTAGCTATTTCTAAGGCAATATTCAATGCTGCCAAGACCAATTTATTAGCAAAAAAAATTGCTTGACAGCACTAAAATATGCCTTGGAAAGTTTGACACCCTAATTTGTATTGCTTGTTATGGAGTAATTGATCTGATATTCTGATGTGTTTGTCTGCAGTTCAGGATATGGTGAATTTCACAGAAAATTTGATCCCGGATAACATTGCTATTGTATATATGCGAGACAACAAGGGTCTTACACCATTATTAAGGGCTGCAGAGTCTGGTAGGATCAAGGCTGCTCAGTTTATACTGGAACACTGTCCTCAATCAGCAGAACTCTGCGATCCAAGTGGCAGAACCTTTCTGCATCTCTTACGCTTTCATTTAGAGTTTCCTGAGTCTGCTTTAAGTGATGCAAGTCTTTTCAAATTTTTTAGTGACCAAGTGTTTAATATCCAGAAGTAGACGCCTTAAGAACAGTACAAGATTGTGATGGCAACACGCCTTTGCACTATGCCTTAAAGACTGGAAACTCTATTGCAGCAGAACTGTTAAAATTAAGATGTTTCAGAACAGAAGAAAGGCCGGAATTAGCACTTATAAACAATGAGAATGAGGGCCTCATAGAGCTTCTTGCAGAATCCTATAAAACTTCTGATCAGGTACGTGCTGATGCTTAATTACTTAATTAAGTTCATAACAAATTTTACTACAGAACTTTTGTCTACCAAATTACTCTTGTAATACAATTGTAAGTAGTAAGTCAGCTTGCTCATGATATAACGTATGCAGCAGCCTGGCAAGCTCCCTCGCAAGGATGATGAAAAGTGAAGACGGCTATCTTGTGCTCCTAACAAACCGTGTTTCAGAATTTCCTCGTGTCTTGGCATCTTTGAAATATGCGGTTCTGTATGTGTATTCTGTACTAGTGTGATTTCATTTACTTGTTACACCTCAATCCATTTTCTCAACAAAGCTGTATGAAAGATGTCCTATGTATTTTTTACAATTACCTGATATTCAAGCAATTGTGTGTTTAGATCAATGATGTTGTTTATATTTGAACAAATGGTATTAACAATAGACAATTATAAAATGAATTTGGGCTTTTTCCTCAAAAACCAAAAAAAAAAAAAAAAAAAAAAAAAAAAAAAAAAAAAAAAATAGAATTTGGGCATTTGGAATGTTGAAGTATTGGGCCACTCTCCTTACTCTGTACTGTCTGTAGGATAAACATATTGATATGGGCAATCCAATACATCTCTCCATTTTTAATAGAACTTTGGCAATTTGGAAGTCATCAATTCATCAATTTTGCTTGTCATCAATTCATCACTATTATACTTGGGTATTCTAACTATATAACCCAAAGTTGGTGACCTGAATTTGACCAAAATTGAAAGAAATTGCTCTATTTTTCCAAACAAAGCAATTTAGCAATCAACACCAATAAGGGCCCCAACCTGAATTGACTCAAACCTAACGATCAATTTGCCTCCTTTATAGCTCTATCCAAAGTTGTGGACATCCACTCGTTACAACTTGAAATAATTCATAAACTTGTAAAAAAAACAAAAATTACACACAAAATCGATAAAAACACTGATATGGTAGATAATTCTTTCAAATTCTTTTGATTAAGGTTACCTTGACACTTTTTAATAAGCAAAATTACAATATTTAAGGTTACCTTGACACTTTTTAATAAGCAAAATTACAATATAGATACAATTTTTTTCTAAGACAGTGAAAAAATAAAAATACGTACACATAAAAAAAAATAAAAAAAAAAAAAAAAAAAAAAACTAAGAACCACATCTGTACCATCCCCTACATTCATCTAAAATCTACCTAATTCTCTCCCAATTTTTTTTTCCTATCCACCATCAAATCCAATAATTTAAAAATACACCTAATCAAAAATAATAATCCAATGAATAAAAATACTCCCTCAAAAAAAAAAAAAAAAAAAAAAAAAAAATCTCGATATCAAAACGGACCGACGTCGCTGCAATTAAAATCATCCGAGTAATTTCCCATACTATCCTCTGGCCAAGAATCACGAAGTAATTTCAACAACATTTGTGCCTTTCTTTTAGCGCGTTCAGTACAATCGCTTTGTACCAACAACAAAAGCTGAGTCAAAACTCCAGCGTTGACCGCCTCCCTTTGCAACCTCTCTGACGTGGAAGCGAGTGCCAGCAACGCGCCAGCAGCGTACTCTGTCGCCCTATCGGATATCTTAAGTATAGTCTTCACCAATAGCGGGACCGTAAGCGCGTGCGCCCCAAACGCGGCACATCCCTGTGGAATCCTACACAGGAGCTCCACGGTGGCAAGCGCACGCTCACAGTCGCACTTGTCGAGCTCTGTGAGGCGCGTGATGAGCGCGTTTACCGCGCCAGCAGACACCGCTTTATGGCGGTGCTGCTTACTTAAACACAGCGCGAAGAGCGTCTTTACACCGATTTTTAGCGCGCGTGGGGAAGGAATTGGGTTTGTGAGAATCGAGATTACCCCAACATAAATTTCATCAGAGGTGCAAACAAATGATCTGAGATCTGTTGACTTGGTTCCGGCAATTACCGACTCAATCAACGCGGCCGAGTTGACTCGGACGTCGATTGACGACGGGTGAAACAGCAAGCTCACCAAGTACCCGACTCGGTCGGGGTCGGAAGCAATTGAACTACACACAATATCGGATGGAGGGAAGATAGCAAGGAGAGCTAACGACTCGTGTTTTAACTCGGACGAATCCGATGATTCGTCCGAGTTAAAAAGAAGCGAAACGAGCACATCTTTGGCATTAAGAGCAGCAATTAACGACCGATTCTTCTCAGAGTCACGAGCAAATCCTCTAAGCCGTCGCAACGCGGAAACCCGATTGTGAACCGGGTTAGACCCGGAAGAAGCTTGGTTTAACAAAGACCGGATTAGCGACGGGTCAGCAGGTTGTTTAGGCGTCGGAATTCTCTCGACGCCAAACGAGCGATTCGAAACGCACCATTCTTGGATAAGACGACGAAGGGTGTGATTGGGAATTAGGGAGTAGTCGGCAAGTGGGACCCGGGTGACCGGACACGTGGTATTACCGGTGGCAACCCAGGCTTCGATGCTAGAGCGGTCGTAGGTTTGACCGGTACAGACGGTAACAGGGTCTTGCATTAATTCAAGAGAAATGGGGCATCGGAAATGGTAAGGGATTTGGATTCCGGCGGCGTCTAACGGCTCAAGGGGAATCATGGGGGGAATTCTTTTCTCTCTCATTGGAGAATTGGGGGGAATGAAAATGGAGAAGAAAAGAGGAAAAAGAGTTTGGTAAAATTGAAAGGAAGTGGAACAAGGGAAAGGGGGTTTATATTCTGACTGTTGGGGACCCCCACACGTGTGACATTTACAGGGTGGTAAACAAACAAGGGATAGCCGATGCCATTGTTGTGGTGTTGGAAAATGTGATTGGGGATATTTTTTTTTTTTTAAAAATAAATTAACAAAAAAAAAAAGTTTTTTTTTTAAAAAGAGTGAAAATAAAAAAAATAATAATGGGTTTGGTCAAAGGAGAGGACTAGAAATGGGGCCTACGAAAAAAATGGCGTTGGTAGTGGATTCTGTAATGTGAGGAAAAGATTTAATCTTTGGATTTAACGTTGGGTGTGTTGTTTGACTGATTTGATTGGCATCAATTTTTGGTGTGGGAAGAAAATTTTGGGGTTGATGATTTTTGTGCATTTCTACTACTATCACTTTCCCGATGGATGGTGATGGTACTAACTTGGTAACTATGGTAAGAAACTGAACTAATGGTAACTTTTGTTTTATTGTTTTATGGTAAGATAATTAAGGGTCCGTTCTTTTCATTTTATTTTTAGTTTACTTTAATTCAGTTCAGCTCCTATCAGTTCAATTCAATTGTGTTTCTAATGTTTTTCTCTCATAAAATATTCAATTCAGTAAATAAGTATAGGGTCTAAATTGGTGAACAATTGAACGGTGATGGATGTTTTGGGTAATTTTACCCCGCCACGTGGTCCAACCAGAGGACGACACGTGTCAGCTTCATGATGGTCCAAAGCGGACCAATCTATGCCTGACACGTGTCACTCCAGAAATTAAGGGAAAAAGGCGGCCTTCAGGCCCAAATCCTGAGAAAGTCGCAAAGCGGCGCAGCCCACCAATAATTAGGGTTCAGTGACCTAATCAGGGGCATAAATCCCAAAGACCCTAGAAATAGGGAGATGTCCCTCTTTTTGAGGGCAGGTTTTTGATGACTTATTACATCTGCATTCTCTCACATCAGAGAAAGACCTGAGCTTGGAATCCGAGCAGATACCCACATAAATTTCCGCACTTTATTCTCTCTCTTCAAGTTTCTAATTTGTGTGTCGGAGGCGGAGCACCACCCAACCGGTGTCTCCGTTTGTTTTGCAGGTACAGCTCACACCAGACCAGTCTTCGTGTTATAACTCTCCCAAGGGACAAAAACACCCAAAACAATGGATGTCTTTATCATTTTAATGACTATCAGTCTATCACCAATCCAAATAAGATGTCTTCATTAAAATTTGTTAAAAAAAAATGAATTGATTAGCGATTACGTAGTACAAATTTGGTTTAATTGCTTTAGGCTGAAAATTCACTATATTTTGGCAAATTTAATATGATGTAATTAATCTTTTATGATTAAAAGAAGAATAACACATTTTGAACCAATTTGAAATTTCTTTAATTTCAAACTCTTAAATGATGGTCAATCTAGTTAGATGAGATTTTTGTTATAATATTTCTTATTATATATTTTTATTATTATTGGAGAAAAATATTATATATGGAGAATTTACCTTTAGAATTTATGGTTGTACTTTCAGTATCTACCAAATAAATTTGGGTGAAAAAAGTATTAAGTAGAGAAAAATTCAATTTAATTAAATCTTAAAAATTACGTGTAACAAATTTCATATAGATATTTGGCTATCCTTTAATTATTAAAGTTAACAAGCTACAAATTTCATGAGGATCAACAAATTGTTTTTTGCTTTCTCAATTGTAGAACTTTGCACCTCTAGGACTTTAATTTTCTAAGGGGGGTGGGGGGGACAAAAAACCTTCAAATGCATTCTAGCTAATTAATGAGTGAATGAAGCAAAAAAAAAGGTTTGAATTTTTTAGGGCACTTGATTTTTTTTTTTTCCCCAATTGCATTGAATGAAGAACATTGGAATTAAATTGAATTTGTTGATAACTTTGTCTAACATGAATTGAATTACCTAGTCAAATAGTCAATAGAGCTTTTAGTTCATTTTTTGAGGGGGTGGGGTATAATAAAGATATGGAGATGATGTAATTCATGTAGACATAATTTAGTCAAAGACATAAATTATTGCTAGTCATAATAATAAACTTGATATTTAAGTTATAATACTGTGCCCTTTTTTAATACTTTATTTATTGAAATAACTTTTCCCTACTATGTATCATGAAATGAGCAGAAGCGTATTCTTTTAGTAGGGAAAAGCAACAACTAATTATAGAGCTTTTCTCACCTTTACGTTAAGTTGTGGTTTTGAGGAACAAGAAACCATGCAAATTTCTAAATTTATATAAAAATAATGCATATCTTCAATAGTAATTTTGCTACGTGAAGATATATATACAGAAGTCAATAGAGTAAATTTAAAGGCATTAGTATTAATTCTAACTTAATTATAAGGTCCAAAACCTTAGTTTATACCGAGTATCACTTTTTGTTTTGATCATTATAATGTGTGTTAGAAGTATATATCGTACATGATAAAATAGTGGAACGTATTATGTTTTTCGGTAGTAGTAATAACTAATAAGAGGTACACAATAACATAATGGAATATCAAGATCTCACTTTTCACTTACCTTCCTCATACAATATCATACTTGGTATGACTCTTACTTTACATTCTAAAGATTTATGGCTTAAATTTTACCAAAAGAGAATGCTTGAATTTTGGAAATCTCTCAAAGTACTATTTTTCTACCCTACTTAGTACTTACAGTAATGTTTAATAATATTACTCTGTATGTATAATGAATTAAAATCATGTAATTGAAATAAGATTAATAATTATTATTTTATTTGTTTGAATAATTATTCTTATTACCTAATTCAAAAAAAATAAAAATACTCCCTATAAAAAAGGGGCAAAAGCACAATGCAAAGCCATTGATGTAGTCCATGTAGCTAGGTAGTTAAAAAAAAAAAAAAAAAAAAAAAAAAAAAGTACTCCGTATTGAGTAGATAGCTCGTGTAATAATTTAAGTGAGAAAAGACCATAGTCCAACTTCATATGCACTTATCGATTGGTGGTTGCCTGTTGATAGAAAGATTGCCTTGGTATTTTTAGGTGTGTTTCCCAATAATAATTTTATTGCACCATCATTTTGGAAGAAGATAACGCAATACTATTTCCAATTATTGCTGTTATAGTGCTGTTTTTGTTTTTTCTTTTTCCTGAATTGAAGTCGGAAGATCCATTTCATATCAAAAACTTTGTGTCGTGTCCATTACATATTTACATATAACAATGTTACCTGTATGCCAGTATGGATCTATGGGATTAGCCTTTAGCCTTGTCAGATTTTCATTCCAAATTACACTTATAAAAAACCTTAAAAATTCACCAACCTATACTATATGTCTATACTCCATGCAAAGTAATTTATTTGGTCAAAATATAACATAAACCTATTTTTTAATAAAATTGATTGTCAAAACAAAAATACATAATCACTTCGTACATTCTACACCATATTATCTACTTCTTTTTTAACAGACATAAATATCTTTGAATCAAAACACTTATATTATGTATAAACCTAATTTATCGTAAAACAGATTTAATATGGATATAGCCAAATCACCTCGACCCCATGAGAATCAGACCCAAACTCCAAGAACAGCAAGTAAGTGGCAATCCAACCCAACAAACAACAACAATGTGATGGTAGTAAAAACTAGTTGTAACAATTTGATAGAAAATGAAAGAAACAAAATGATAAAAAGGTGGTGGATGAAACAGTTATAATGAGGAATAGGAAAGCAATTAACCAAAATAAAAAAATAGTCAAAGGGTCAAAGAAAGACAGAGCATGGAATGTGAAGGTTATGAAGAGGCCCAGGTTGTCCTCCCTTACCTTTCATTCTCTTCACTCTTCCTCCCCCACTCATTCATAATTCATTCTCTTCAATTCTCTTAAAAAAAATATAATAAAATAAAAAAAAAATCATTTTCATTTCTTTTTTCTTATTTAATTCTCCCCACCATTTGGGGCCCACCAATGAAACTGTGACGAAGATCTCATCGACGTAGTGGGCCCAATAGAGTTGCTTCAATTAGGCTCGCTAGGCCCACTCAGCTTTCCATAATTCTTAATCATATATAGTGGGGGAAACTACTCTATTTTAATACTTGTAATAATGTTTAAAATATTTTATAAATTAAAACATAAAAAATTTCCATGTACGTGAAGTGGTTATTGGTTAGTAGTTATATTAAATGTTGAGTTGATAATTTTGTAATGTTTGAAGATGGTTTTTTTTTTTTTTTTTTTTTTTTTTTTGTATGGAAAAGGGTAATTTTCCATTGCATTAATGTCATATACCTTCTACATTCAATAGCTTCTTTTGGCATAAACAATTTCAAAATGCTAACCACTTCTTACTGTAAAGCATTGAAACTCATAGGAAGATTATTTTTTGCGTTATTTAATTTTACATCATAGGACCATATTATTCCACATAAATTTAAATGTCATAGTTTACAATTTAAACTTTACACTAGGGGTTCGATTTAAAGTTTGGATCCGATCCGAATTGATAATTCGGTTTGGATTGGATTTCGGTTTTTATCCGAATAATGGACACCCCTACTTTACACTATTACTCGTACTTATTAGAGAAGTAATTATAAGGTGAAAAATAATTATTTTTTTCAATTGGTAAACAATATTATATATGACCATAATTAGATACCTAATCTAACTTAAGGTTTATAAGTTAAAAATCAAGGTTGTAAAATTTTACTTTGATTTTCTTTATGATTAAGATAATTTAACTTATAAAGGTTCACCAAAAATAAGTAAAGATACATAAGCGGGAGATGAGGCCTAGATTAATTGTGCGAATTTATTAAACTGTGGTTTATTAGAAATTACTTCGTATTAGTTTTAAGTTGATTATGGAGTACATTTACAAGTTGCTTTACTAAAGTTGAACTTAGGAAAATGATGACTCGTACAATGAACTTGGCTATGATACTCAATGAATTTTTAGGTAGTACATTGCAAATTTGCACAAGAGTAGAGCACTAGACCTAATAAAGGGCCAATACCACAAGGGTCAGTTGTGTGATACTAAGCTATGTGGTAAATAGAGTAATGAGATAGGTCGTTGAAGGTAATCAGCGTTATGTTATTGTCCTTAAAAAAATTAACCTAGTAAAGGATTGACTTTTTGTCCAAGCTATTGTATTAGCTATTATTTACAAATAATAGAGTTAAATAATGGTTCACTAAGTTGGCTTTATCAAATTACTTTTTGGCCGAGTATATTCATCCACACGTACTAGCAAAAACATCTATAGTACAAATCATGTGTCATTAGATAAAACATTGCTAGAAGTTTGAGTCGACATTTATTGAAATCAACCTTACAAATACTTCATAATAAAATTACACACTTGACACTCCCTACATTTGTTCTCAAAAACGAGATGCAAACCTAAACAAGGAAAAATATGCAAATGAAAATTAATTAGAATCTAATTTTTCTTAGAAATGTTGTTCGTCACAAAATAAGAAAACACATCTCAAACAAACCCTAATAACATAATCTGCTTTTAAAACTCGATCAATCCACAACCTCGTCCTCCTAACCTCCTTGTAGTCCTCCACACTCTCTAGTCCCTTTCACAAACCAAATGCACTTCGTGTATTTGATGTCCTCAAACAAAAACATCCATGAAAAACACATTGGCACATTGCAAATTGTAGATCACTTCACTATTGTAAAAAATGTTAAAATGAAGCTAACAATTCAATATGATCTGAATGAAGCAGCAAAAGCAACAGAGAAGTTAAAGAAGAGACTGAATGTTGATTGGAGGATAGAATGACAAGAATCTGGCACATGCCAGAGGAGAGAGAAAATTGGTGGTTGTCGTTTAGCGGCGGGTGCACGCGTGGGAGAGGTGAGTGCGTGGCACGAGTGAATGCTCAAACAAAAGATACCGCCAACGTTTGTCTCTGGTCAACCCGACAACCTTGCCGGAGACAGCTTACTAATTACTATTGCTCCCTCTTACCCCTTTCTACCACGTGCTACCTCGCACGTGTGCCAGCTAAGCTCCCATTTAAAGCTTACTACTAGTGGTAGTAGATCGTTAATTTGACTCAATTTCTTTTGATTTCAATTCTGACCAACTAATCTAAGCATGATTGTTAATTATTTTTGATGGGGCTCAATTATGGATTAAGCATGGTAATAGTAGTAATAATAATGATAATGTAGTGGAGTCTTTCATGCAATGTATAGTGCGATTGATGGCAATCAATGAGTAATCAACTTCCATTATACATGTAACAATGCTTTGATGTAAAAGTAATTAACATTTTTTTTATTCAAAGGAGACGAAAGACTTTTTGATATGATGTATTATACTCCTAAACTAATTAATTGAATATTAGGGTAGGGCAAAAGGGTTTGAATTTAGGATTTCAATACTATCGTATTTTGAATCACACTAGACTACTGAATTATCTCAATTTTGCTCGCTCATTGTTACAATGCAATTGCATACAACTCAAATAAACGAATAGGAGACTTAAACAAGTCAAGTGTGATTTTGTTCTAAAATCATGACAACATAAAGCATGACTACACAATTTTTACATGCTAGTCAATAGTCACCTTCCTATCACTCTTCCAATGAGGATGAATTTGGGTTAACATTCACATAAAAAATGTCCCAATAAAAATTACGCAGCTTGTTTGCTAAAGCCATTTCACCATTGGATTACATATTTAATAAACACCGTATCAAATAATTGGATTGTAAATTACACAAATTTTACATTAATGTTTATTGTCTTCCTCAATCTACAAAGTAATTGCAGTGGTGTAAAAGTGGATTGATCCCCTAAAAGACAGACATGATCAATAATCTCAATTGGAATTACATTAATTATATTACAACTAGTACTTAATTAGAGAATCCAAAACTATAAAACAAAGAAATGGTCACATGGTTACACTAATGGTATAGGATTTATGCGGGGTTTGTTTTGTTGTCTATAGTACGGAATTCTTTAGACAGATCAAATGGATCAGCTACAAAAACAATAAGAAAAAGAGAGGAATAGTAATACTGCAAACAACTAGGATGTTTTAATGAACACATTTTATTAAAGTTTTTATTTTTTTTATGGTTTAATTTGTTTTGTAGCTGATATTTATTTGTTTGGTGTGAAACCTGTGAGTACTAAACTGTAACACTGTTCTTTGGTCTACTCTGTTCTTATCAATTTTGAAGTTTAAAGTACAGTCAACAAAGGCCTACTTTGATCTACTGTTTTTTACAAGTAGGTATTTTTGGTTGTTTTTTACTCGTACTAACTTTTGATTTGGTATAAAACAAATTATTGACTGAGTAGAAAGGAGGTTTAAATTACATAAATGCACGTGATTCTATTATCTAAATCCAAAGGTTTATAGCAAAAGTAATGGAGTAAGAAGTATATTAAGGGTTTAGTAGGGCTTCAAAATCCAATGTGGATTTGATATTTTGATTGTTTATCCTTCTCTTTTTTTTTTGGGTTTAGAGAGAATGGAAACGAGAGAAATATTGATTGGATGATGTTCCACAATTGTGTGACAAGATTTGTTCATTTTTCGTGAGAGTTACGTTGTAAACCTAAACGTTTGTATTTACTTTAAAAAAATTTGTACTTGTATAACATTTGTAGTATACAAAAACTAATGTGAACGTATAACACTTATCCTATCTAATTATAAATTAATCGATCTTGTAAGAGGTTTTGACAAAAATATAAAGTAATAAAGATAAAGTTGAAAGTTTTAACTTTTATTTTGTTATTTTTCAAGAGTTAGGTTAGGCATCAAGACGAATAACCCAATTCCTTTAAATTGATGTTAAGTATTGATACCCACTAGGGGGAAAAAAAAAAGTTTAAAATTTAAGGGATTCTAACACATTTAATTTCCTTAATTACATAGAACAACAAGGTTGATGTATACCTTTCCTATCTTTTTACCTCCTCTCCTCAACACAATATATGTATATATCCTACATTTTCCTCTCTTCCTATCATTTCTAATTTATCTAGCAAGAAATCAAAAAAAGCAAAACTGTGTGAAAGTTAATCTCCATCAATTGAGATATGCAATGCCTTATTATTAATTTAACATTCAATAGAACTTAACTTACAAATTTTTCCTTCAAAACAAACAATGCCTACATGACCACATAAACAAACGGATAGGTAAAACCCGTCAAAGCAATAAACATTATTATATAATCAATTACATAGCTGTAAAGAGTCCTATAAATAAGGATCACTAATTATATACACTTTGATATAAATCATGACATTTTAGAATAGCCAAAAGTAACGAATGTAGAAAGCTTTTTTGGTTTTTCACGCTTCACTAAGAAGATTAATTCCTGATTTTGCATTGCCAATCAACACTTTTATTTTGTTGATTTTCTATTGGTTTAGAGTTTTTTTCCCCTCTTTTAAAAGTCAGATTAAAAAGTAAATTAGAACTTTAATTATTATGATAGCTGTTTTTACTTTTACTTCTTTACTTGATATTGACCAGAGTGTAAAGCTTTTTAGCTTGATTAGATCTAGATTAAGTAAACGTTTCTTTTTTGTACCAAAAAAAAAAGAGTAAACGTTTTTTTTGGCCCCCGCTAATAATGGAGTATTACTTACTTTAATTGGTGTATAATAAAATGGATAATGTATTAAAAAGTAAGATTAGTTGGGGCAAAAGCTGTTTTTGTTATGTCTTTCACTTTTCCGCTTGAAAAATAAATAATTATATTGCTCCAACTGAAAAATCAAAACAAAATATAATCCCTATAACGTAAGTTGCATGATGATGTTGATTGTGTGACATCATTGCTCTTTGGCTAACACACATGACACCTAATTACTACTATTCCATTCATTACCAAAAAAAATAAATACATAAATATGCATTGTCTACCATCCTCAATCCTTGATTACCAACCTCACAAAGTCACCATAACATATTATCTAATGCATTGCATAACAATTTAACAGTTTGTTGGTTAATCAATAATATGATGTTAATTTTCAAGCGAAATTATACTCAAATTTTCATTATCGTTATTAACTACTCCGTACTAACCATTAAATGAGGTATAAAGAGAAAATCTAAGTAGCCTATATTAAATACTGTAGTAACTAGTCCACAAAAAAAAAAAAAAAAAAAAAAAAAACAAAAACTACTGTAGTAACTACAGAGTAACATTCATATAATATATATATATATCCTTATGCTGTTGTGCATGAGTTGTTATTTTTATATTTACATGCCAACATCTATACTTTTAAATTATCACATCAATTGGAATAACTGGCCCGATATTGTTATTATGTCCATCTTCATATCTTGTTGATACAACGTATGCAGATTTATAACGGTAAAGACAAATTTGATTGAAGAATTTGTTGGAAAACACTTGATAATATCTTGTTAGATGTTTTCGATGTTTATATATAGAAATATACCTTTGTACTAAAATATTTCTCTCTCTTTTTCCATGAAACTTTGATTTTACTAATATGGATTCTTGATTTCTAGTCTTTGGCCTAGTCCTTTCATTTTTTTTTCTAATGACCGATCCAACCTCTAATTAGTTTTGTTTCATTAATAGAAGAAGAATTTAAAATTCTGTCTCTAATCAATTTTGTTTCATTAATAGAAGGAGAATATTTAAACCTCTGCACCTAAAAGTTTAAGAAGGTTCCATTTCAAAATCATACGAGTGTGTGATATTAACAGAAGTTTTTAAGGCAGGTCACATGGTGCAGCAGGAGTTACTTATTGGGCGTTATTGGTTTTGTCAGGGGTTACTCGTATTTTGGGGTTATATGAGTTACTTGTAGGTGTTACTTGTATTCTGAGTAACCCCTACAAGTAACCCCATACCAAAAAAGTAATACCCTACAAATACCCCCTGATCAAAATCAATAATACCCTACGAATAACCCCATAATACAAGTAACACCCACAATTAACACTCTTACCAAAACAAATAACACCGTACAAGTAACCCCATAATACAAATAACACCGTACAAATAACCCATGTCACACCATATAGCCATCTACTTTATAATTCAAAAATGAAGAGAAAAGATAATGTTTTATAAGCTCAAGATTCAAGTGAATAGCCAATGAAAAGAGCGAGGAGGAAGAGTAAGGATTAGCATGTACAAGTGAGATAATTGGATAAGGATATGTGGTTTTCTGTGACAAAATCTATAGTTTTTAGTTTTTGCGGAACTATGCAGTCAATCTTGGGAATAATAATCACATTTTTTTAATAATGACGTAACTAGTACAAGTCCATAAAGAGTACGTTGTAGCTTTCAAACTTGGCGACTATTTAATGCACAAATTTCAACACCTGAATACCTGATTCTATGTTAATTTAAATTTTATTTTTATTAAATTAATTAACAAGGAGTAGTCATCTAAACTAAACAAGGCAATGTCTCAAGTAAATAAAATAAAATAAAATAAAGAAGGCATATTTATCCTGTCCTGTTGGATTTCCTAATCAAGGTAGAAATGATTTAAGAAGTCTATAACTCTATGTGCAATCCACTAACAAAGTAGTGTAACAAGTTCTATTGAATCTTAAAACCAAAAGCAAAACCCAAAAATAAAAATAAAAACTAAAGAAGAAAAAAAAAACCAATTTTAGTACTTTAATTTTCTCGGCACAGGACAAATATGCCTTCTTTAGTTGAGAATTTCTGAAATATCAGTGAAGTTTTGTACAATACCAGTAATCCAATATCCGTCTTATTTTATACCAATGTCTAAATCTATTTACAAGCAATTTAAGTTATTAGCCAATGTACAGGGTATGAGGGTAATAATTTATGCTCTGTTATCACCCAAGTTTTACAAGAAAATAGACAAAATAAATTATAAAAGTGTTCCAAAAAAGAAAAATTCAGTTAATTTCAAATAGATTAATCGAAATCACTTAAAAGAGTGACACTGGTGTTGAACACATCCATATAATATAGTACAAACACATGCTCAGACATCTAGAACATTTGTGGCATGTCTCTGTCACTAAACTGTTGCCAACATAATTTGACTTTCTAATAATTAATTTAAGAATCAAACAAAGGAAAAAAAAAAAGGAACTAAAAAAGTAGGCATCTTGATAATGTATTAGTGGGGGCTAATAAATCTCAGATAAAAACAATTAAAGAAAAGATAGTCCTACTGTTAGTGTCTTGGTGAACTGCTCAAGGTATTACATTACACAACAATGCATGGAGGAACCAACATCTGTTTCCCTATACTTAGGAGAGAGAAATCCAGAATTTGTAGGTTTTCTTTCTTTAATTAAATTTAATAACTTCAATTTAAAGGTCAAAATCTGAAGAACCTACATTTTAGATCTATAATTAGGCCTACTAGCGTACTTGTAATGATTAATAATATCATCACCATATTAGTAGATTCAATTAATGCGGGGCTAAAATACAATCTTGAATGTTTTTTTTATATTTTTCCTAGCCTATTATCTTTGGTACAACCTACTGTACAAGATTTAATTAGTTAAGTGATGACCTACTCGCTCAACAATTATACCAGCTGCACATGAAAAATTAATTGCGGAGTAGAACTTATACATACATTATTCCGAATCTTGTACGAAGTACTACATACAACGTAACTTTCTAATAATAAGTATTTGTACTCTTAACATAATTAGATTAGTTCACAATCAAACCATACTGTTTACAATAGTTGAATTATTGTTACACAGTCACATCACTTATCTTAATAAGAATTGTTTGAGAAAATTAATCACTAACCATCCTTTTTTTAGGATATAAAACAAATACAGAGTAAAATTCTGTGATACAATCAGTCTAAATGGATGGTGTATAACAGTATATGAGTATCTCATTTCTTTTTTTTTTTTCTTTTTTTTTTTTTACGCACAAGATTAAAACTTTTTATTTTTATTTTTTTATGGAAATAAGATATCAAATCACTTTTTTTTTAACTAAAAGGAACTTTAATAAAGTAAACTCATGAAAGTTTTTTTTTTTTTACAAGTTGTGAAAGATAATTTGAATGGTACAGAATCTAATGAAATGTCTCTTCTAGTTATTGTGGTTTAAGACATTAAGATATGTTTAACTTAATAAGAAAAACTTATAATTATCATGCATTATGTTGTGACTTTATGCTGTTTTAAATATAATTAAGATGATATGGTATCTTAAGAAAGTAGGCCCAATACTTTGAATCAAATAATGCAATTTATAAAACAGTTTGTCGTTTAAAGGAGAGTAGAGAGATAGATGTCTATTCAAGTATAAATTCTCCATAGTATTCCACACAATGGACTTTTGTCATACATGCTAAGTTTTTAGTATCGACATATCACACTCATACTTGACAATTCCTCTCAACATTTTCAATAAAAAGCATCGTCTAAGGATCTGTTTTCTTACGTTGAAATTCAGTTCATTTCAGTTCAGTTCAGCTCAATTCAGTTCAGTTCAGCTCAGCTCAGCTCAGCTCAGCTCATTTCAGTTCAGTTCAGCTCCTAATTTCTTTCTCTTATAAAATATTCATTTTAGTTCAATTCAGTTCAGTTCAGCTCAGTTCAGCTGAGTTCAGTCAATGAGAACAAGCCCTAATACTTATTACAAATAACTTAATTGGTACACTTATAGCCGTTGAAACCCAAAATTATAAAAAGTTAGATGCCTAAAATCTAAGATTGAATTCCATTTAGATGTATAATGATAGGTGAAGTTGTTAACCTAGTTTTACTGCTCGTGACTTAGGGAACAATTTTTTACATGTTGATTTTGTTAGCCTCATATGATTTTATCTTAGCTCGACGTTAACAACTCCAAAGCCAATAAGGGTCTATTCTCATACGTTTATTTTCAGTTCAGTTCAGCTCAGCTCAGCTCAGTTTAGTTCAGTTCAGCTCCTAATTTCCTTCTCTTATAAAATATTCATTTCACTTCATTTCAATTTCCTTCTTTTATAAAATATTCATTTCAGCTCAGCTCAACTCAGTCTATTAGAACAGGCCCTAAATTTAGCTAAATATAGTTCAAGGGAGCTAGATTAAAAATATGGAGTACTTAAATTTAATTCACAAATAATAAAGTGTTTAAGCAAGTTTACATAAGTTAAGTTAAAAGAAAGACAATAAGTTAAAAGAAATTGTTGTAGGTTCATAAAAGTGGAAGTCAAGTGAAAAAAACCTTTGCTAAAAAATAAATTACTAATTAAGAAAAACAACTTACTGAAAAATGCTATTTGAACGACCACTTACTCATTTAGCCTAAAATATTTTGAAACAGTACAAATTACAGTGATTAGCAGAATATTCCACTGTCTTAACAACAAGGATTAGGTATATTCTTTCAGGACATGAGAGAGTGAACAAAGAAGAATTTACTTCCCACAAAAAAAAAAGGCGCACCATTTTTAAAGTAGAGGGCGGCGGGTAGAATATATAATTTCACTAGTTGTAGTAAGTATCTACTTTTACAAAATGTGTTAATTACTTCATATTTTATTAGTAACAGTATTATCACTTTTACAATTCTAATAAGGATTTAGGATCTGTTCAGATTTACTGAATTGAGATGAGCTGAACTGAATTGTTTATGAAAAGAGGAAATAAGAGCTAAACTGAAGTAAAGTGAAATTAAACTGAAAAGAACAGGTCCTTAGGGCCTGTTCTCTTACGTTGAAATTCAGTTCAGTTCAGTTCAGCTCAGCTCCACTTCTAATTTCGTTCTCTTATAAAATATTCATTTCATTTCAGTTCAGTTCAGCTCAATTCAGTTCAGTTCAGTTCAGCTCAATTCAGTTCAGTTCAGTTGAGTTCAGTTCAATTCAGTTCAATTCAGCTGAGTTCAGTCAATGAGAATAAGCTCTTATACTACTCAACTTGTTAAAATAAATATCAACATAAACAAAGTAAAATTGGCGAAATTAAATAAAGTTCAATAAAAAATAAGTGAAGATCACGAAAATAATTTAATCTAGTTGAATAAAAATTTAAACAAAAAAAATAAGTTTTTTACTATTAAAATAGGAAAAGAGTTGAACAAAGCTAGAAGCTTTTACAAGTCAACCTTGCCCATATTAGGAAATTGAAGGGAGAAAGGGAACATGAGGATAAGGAAATTCTCACCTCAAAGTGTTTCTAGTGAAGTTTAATCCCACAAAGCTTGTTATTCAACAAAAATAAGTTAGGTTTGCACAAACAAAAAAAAAAAACCAAAAAAAAAAACTAAACATGACATAGCTTAATATAGCCACGTAGTTAAATTATTAAGTACGGAGTATAAGGATTCTCCCTATCAACCTACAGCTCATGGTATTCGTTTCTTAGTATCACTACAAGATTCTGTAATAATTAGCATAAGATAAGCTTTATACTTCGTATAAGTTATAAGTTACATCGGTTAAGGAGCTGACCAAGTATTAAAGAAGTCAAGGCATCTTGAGCCATGCGCATTTTGGTTTTTAAACTTTACAAAGACTTTGAATTCTGTCAATTCCTTGAAAGTTCTGAAGCTTTTATAATAAGAGTGCGTGGAACAAGTGTATTAATCATTTAGGAAAGCTACAAATCGGTTTAAAGATTTTGCTCCCAGATAATCTAAATTGTGTCAATTAGGCCTCATTTTTCACTCCTTATCCAAGGCACCAGCCCAAATTAAGATCCCGGATGGATCCGTGGATAATTTATAGGCAAGCATTCTCGTATGGTCATACCGACCACAATGACAATTATGCATGTTATTAAGAGCAACATCAATATCAAGCTAATTTTCAAAATAGCTTGTCATGCACATAAACTTTCAAGTCAATTATCTTTCTAGCTAGTTTGAGTCTCAATTGCTAGCTATTAGCTTACTGTTTAAATTATTATTTTCATCGTGATGACTAATTTACTTTTAGCATTTTCTTTTCGGCAAGTATTTTCCAAATAAATTAGCTAGTTAAGCTAATTGCATATTCTACATACAATGATCAAGTTAGTACCTAAGGACTATTTAAAATAACAAGCAATTTAAAAAAAAAAAAAATCGTATAAACCATCTATTATGCAAGTTGACTAATCTAACTACTCGAAACAAAAGTACTTCTCAAACATTTTTACACAAACACCAGTCAATCGTTATAAAGCTTCTCCTACAAATCTACAATCCTACATTCCTACCCCGTACTAAAGCAGAAAGTGGGCTGGTTTAGAATCAGGTAAAAAAATCTCACCAGCCCAGAAATAGCAAAATGTATGGGCCGGATAAGGCCTGAAACTAACCAACCAATGAAACCGACGTTTTTCATGTAAAGTAACTAATTGTTATGGCCTCGCCCATAAAAGGTTCAGCATTAAATTACACGAAGTACTTCGTATAAAGGACCAAAATGAGCCGGTCCTTTGAAATGGGTTATGGGTTTTGCCCATTTAGCACCAATATTAATCTGCCCTAATAATCCAACAAAGTTAAGATCAGGTAATGAAAATTTTTATCCATTTACAGGTTACACCATTTGAAATGAATTGGCCCAATGATTTTTTACACCACTAAAAGATTGAATAGCCAATAAATGTGAAGACTGAAACTATTTGATTCCTAAATTGCCTTGAAATTTCATTGTCCCTAAATGGCTAAATTAACATATTCCCATACACCTTTCCCTACATTAAATAAAAACTAAAAGGTAGAAGTAATGAAAGCAAACTATGCAAAACTACTAAGCAAGTAAGCATAGAGGTGTTAAACTCACAGGAAATAGCTTCACAACGACATCAAACAGGCAAGAGAAATGGTCCCGAACATCCACCAAAGCGGAACCAACTTCCTCGAATAGCCAATGCTTGAAATAGGTGCTACCATGGGTGGGTAGGGTTCAGCTTGAGGAAAATTACAGGATCCGAATGTCATGTTAGCCTGTTCACAGAACAATTACCAATTTAAATCACAAGCATAGTAACAGAACTCACAATCTTACATTTCTTTCAATCTACACAGCTAAAACAAATTGGATGAAATGTTTCTTCCAATGGCCCTCATCCTACTTTATAACATAGCATAGAGACTACTTCGTAGTACTCCAATCATAGTAGTCACAGTCAAATGCATTTCAAATGGCCAATTTTGTTACTCCCTCTAAACCATAACTCTGCCTTTTCCAATCTTGTGATGTTCCAAAAGGGTGTCCCAACTCCATAAATACTGGCTTACTGCAATGATTTTGCTTATTCATAATGTGCCACTTCAGTTATTTGAGACATGACAAACACAATGCTATTGTCCGGTGCACAAGTCTAGAAACTTTTAACAGATTATTTGAAGTTAGTGCATTTAATGATCATGTTTACTTAAGCGGTAGTGTCAGGCTGATTATACTAATTAAAATCATTACAGTCGATTTTTAAAGCTAAAACCCCATAATGCCTCATGCTCTTTTGATTCCAGCAATTCCAAGTATGAAATTTACAAAAGATTTTACTTACCCTGCACTGCGCAATGCTGGCACATCCACAAACTAGATGACCGTTCATTTCATCTACAGCAGCTGGAGCTCCACCTCCATCACTTCTCTAAAGCAGCAAAGTAGGAAGATGGGACCAAATGAGCATATATTGAGGAGAAATGGTGGTAATAATAAATTTCATAAGGTTGTAGCAATTCATGTCATTAAGTACCTTGTAGAAATCAACAGTCACAAAATTGGCCCATCTTTTTCCTGATGCATTATAACAGGTGCCCAACATGCTTTCTAGTGGAGCTGAATTGTGCTTGCAGGCAGTGGCTAAATCTGGTACGGTACTAAAATAATTGACCAACACTAGGGATATAGAGGTCGTGTTCATGGGACGTGATTCTGCACGATTAGGACATGAGCCAGCTACCATACCCCCATCACCATCTGAATATGAAATATATGTTGATGAACTTGATTTAGCTCATTTGACATTGACTGTGTAACTGGAGTTATGAATTTATGTACTCACATTGATTTTCTAAGACATATCTCCAATTGTAAGCAATCCCTTCAGAAGCCTCTTTATTAGCTTTTGAAGTGAATACCAACAGTCGCTGGTTTTTCTGAATCATATCATCAATTATGGGCCAATCACCCCCATTTTTGGGCATTCGGGATACTGGAAACCAATACTTCCTGAGGCCGGCAGTATCAAACACCTTAGTCAGACCCTTGGGTGATGTAACATAGTCTTCAATAAATATGGTGATAATCTCAGAAGGGTTAGCCTCAAGGAAGGTCTGCATCTCCCTCAAGACTTCTACTGCAGGTTTCTACAGAGTTTTTTACAGAAATCAGTCAGATAAGCTATTCAAGAGAAAATCTTATGCAGTAAAGAAGACTGGAAATGGAGAAGTTAAGGTACATTAATAACAAGGTACCAAGCTTGTTTAGTCACGCTACAAATACTAAGTGCACATACAGACATACTTACAAAGGCTGTATTGTTGTAACATCTCCCACCAAAAGAGTGGCACAGCCAAACATCATTGTTGAAGTCATACATATCAAGCATAAATCCTCTAACACCATCCTGCAAAATGGAAAAGTGCCAAACATCACTAAATTAGCTAGTCATTGTAAGTTTGTAACTTAGCAAATTTAGATCTTCAAAAATATTACTTCATAATTTTTTTTTCTTAAACTTCCTCTGCCTTTGTTTTATTTATTTATTTACATTTATTTTTATATTTAGATCGGGTTGGAGACTGGAGAGGAGAGCATGATCATGATATGAATGCCAACAAGCATTTGGAAACAATTTGTAAGTTTTTTTAGCAAGTAAATCTCCCATAGAGAAACCAGCCAACAAGACAACTGTTGCTCTGTATTCAATTGTTAATAACGGCACCACTTGTAAGAGACAATCCAACCTGATATAAACAGTAACTATGCAACATCGATAAAAAATTCTATCAAAGCAATAGTTCTGGATATATAATTGAATTTAGAATTGATACTGTAATAACTCAGTGTGAATTTCAAGGCAGCATGGTCCATGAATCTAAATGTACCAGCATTTACTTTATTATTTCAATTCATTTATTCAAGTAATTCTACTTCCCTTCTCAAGATGGCTACAAATTTATAGAAGACTCCTCGATCATCAGAAGCTGTGCATCTAACATGTAATTCTACTAAATCAATAATTACAAATCTAAATCACATCTTTAAGTTGCATGTTTATCAATTAGGGCAGCAAAATTGGAACAAATGGAGTAATATTTAATAAACGTGCATGCATAAACAGGATAACGCCAAATTAACGGTCAAAGCAATGCTTATTGGTCACCAAGCCTGATTTTCCACTAAACTAACCTCACAAGTTCCAGTATTGGATAGGAACTCAAGAAAACCAGTTATCAACAAATGTTCCATAAAAATTACACTTGTCTAAGCAATGAAGTTATAATACTTACAAAAGGAAAAGTGCAGCTTTGTTGGTGACCTAGGATTTATGTTTTCTTTTTGTAAACAAAGTGATGCTTACATTATAATATCAGCATGGTGGTCTTATATTAGAAGTCAAGAAAAAACATCTACTGACCAACTTCACATGAGAATCATTCCTTAAAACTCTAAAAAGCAAAAGAAGCTGAATATTCCACAATAAAAATGACTTTGCCAGTCTTTCTTTTTGCAGTTTATCAGCATGTCCACATAAGAGCAGTTGTAGCACATTTCCTTGTATTTGTTATAACATATTACGCGTCTAACTTCGTATACCATTGTGCATTTGACATTAATTAACAAGGTTAAAATAATTAGGATACGGCATATCTAATACCATCAAGACTTTGATTATACTAATTTAAATAACTACTACGACTAGTTAAGAAATGTGAATAACAGTAAAGCTAAGCCTCGACCCTCTTTATCCTTCCATGTTTCTATTTCATTCTTCAATCTTTTGTAATATACATCTAATAGCTCGACTATGACTAACACTCAAAACCACTCATTTAATGAAACAGCACAATGAACTTAAAGAATCTGAAGCAACCAACAACTTTTGGTAGCTATTTAATTAAGTCATTCCATTTTAAGACGTTCAATCGTACAATTTCCATATGGTTATTGTTCATTCTTACTTCTTAATTAGAAACTCTACAACTCTATCCATTCATCGAGTTTGACACAAATTCAAACCAGTTGCGTATCTCTCTAAAAGTTATCGCAAGAAGAATCAAATTCAGTCATTGTCATCATCAATTCAAAATTTCAAATCCACCTTATTAGCATGTAAATCCTCCCAATATAAACAGTCATATATCCTAATCATTTAGTCAAGATTAAAGTGCAACATTAATAAATAATCAACATCTCATCAACCACTCCAGCATTACGCTTTCACATTTAAAATGCAACAATAAACCGCAAATCAACAATGTAGTTCACTTAATTTCGATTAATTGAGCATGCAATTAAAATTATCAAGTTCAAAACCCTAAGATTATGAGCAATTTTATTAAAAAATAAAAAATTTAAAATCATAGAAAAAGCTTACGTTAAGCTGAGACGTAACAGAATCCTGCTGATTAGTAGGAGCGAGAATTACGGCACCAGTAGCCGATTTCTGGCCGAGTCTAGCGAACGAGTTGTGAGTCGTTAACCACGAGTATCTGTTGAACGGCAATCCTTTCACCTTCAAATTTTCAACCAAAAAAAAACCACTTCATCAACATCTTCTTCATCATCAACAACAAAATAAACTAAAATGAAATGAAAAAAGAGGAGAGAGAAAATTACCTTAGAGAGAGGATTAACAGGTTGAATGCGAGTACAGCGAGGGCGAAGATTACGATTAGCGACGCAAGTTTCGCAATGAAGTCCTTGATCGCAATTTCGATCTGCAGCGCATGTTTGTCCGAGTTTCTGCAACAATTGACAGTAAAATGAACTGAAATTTGAAATTCAACTGAAAAAAATTGAATGAGTGCAAGAGAATTATGAATTTTAGAGTGAGAAAATACCTGAAGAGCAGAGGTGAGGTTGAACAGGAGAGAGAAAATGAGAAGTGCAGTTGGAATTGTTCTGATAATTTTCTGCAAAATTGAGAGGTTAGAGAAGAAGATTGAAGAGAGAGAAAGGGAGAGTAGAAGGAGAGAGAGGGAGTACCTTGGGCGCCATTGTTGGAATTTTGAGTTGATGAGGAAAAAGCGGGTGAATAAATGAATGTTGGTTGGATTTTGTATTTAAAAGAGAGAAGACGTGTGTGCGTGGGAAGGGGAAAAGGGGGGGGGGGGGGGGGAGAAGTGAGTAGTTGGAAATTTTGAGATGGAAAATTTGTCAATCACATCCTTTTAAAAAAAATTGTAAATTACAATCTAAAAGTTTTATAAATTGTAAATTGCAATAGTATAAACTCTTTTATCGGTTTACGTGTTGAAAAATATTCAGTTAAGGTTTTAAGGATCATTTTACTCCAGTTTTTAAGGAACCGAATTAAGTTCACAATCATCAGAAAAATAACGTAATTGTCTCGTTTTGCGTAATAAAAATGTCTCGATTTGTGGGCAACTATTTTATGCTGTAAAAATGAGGCACTTACGTTTTTTTTTTTTTTTGCTAATTCTGAGCTCAATTCGGACCCTTAAAGCCTTAAAGGGGCCCTAAAACCTTAACTGGATTTTTTTTTTTGACTTGTAAACCGATGAAGAATTTGATACGGGTTGCAATTTACAATTTATAAGAACTTTTGGGTTGTACTTTGCATTTTTTTTTTAAATGGCTGAAATTTGTAAAATACTAAATTTAAATTGCTGCAATTTGTAAAATACTAAATTTAAATGGCTGCAATTTGCAAATTTTCCTTTTGAGATTAAATAATGTACTCCATTAGTGGAGGTTTAATGGTGATAAATGGTATGGAGTAATTTTGATTTTGTAGGTTGTTAAAGCTTGGTTAAGCTGTTATAATGTCCATTCTATTAATAGTACCCCATCCGTTTTTAAATACTTGCTCCACTTTCCTTTTTCGACCGTTTTTAAATACTTACTCCATTTTTTTATTTGGAAAGTTTTTACAATATTTTTCTAATTTCTCTCACCTAGTAGACCCATCATATATTTCTCTCCTCCAATCCTCTCCACTACTTTTGTTTTTTACAATTTTTTATTTCTTCCACTTACCCCACTACCTCCATATATTATTATTTTCTCCAATTTCTCATAAAATTAAACTCTGCGCATGGAGAAATTGATCAAGTATTTAAAAACGAAGGGAGTATAAGTTATTTGTACTTCATACACAAATTGATGATTTAAATGATGTGTTTTTATTTGGATATATATTTATTGACTGAAGATAATTTCATGATTATTTGTAATTTTAAGACTCTATTTTGTTCATCTTAAAACAATAATTTAAGTTCACTAAAAATCATTAACTTTTAAAATGAATGTAATGGAAAATCAATAAAATTGATTTCAGCTCAATATAAAATAGGATAGTTTATAAAATAACACCGCTACCAAAAAAAAAAAAACCCTCCAAAAATTGATTTTACCACCACTTACGAATTCTTGGATGTTGGATGGAATTCGTTGGTGAGACCCATCACATACACGTGTCAGTATAGCATTGGTTTAAAAAACAGAAAACTCCCTAAACCCAAACCCAGCCAACACCGACAAATTCCAATGCCGGCAGCTCTATCCCCATCTCACCGCCGACAACTCGTTCCCCCTCCCCATCCTACTTCCAGCACCTTTTCCCCATCCCTTGTCGCCTGCTATCGCCAGAACTTGATCTATACCCTTGCCCATGCAACCACAAATCCATACCCACAAACATGCATCCAGCGACAGATCCCCACGCTTGACTACGATCGCTCATAACCCACCTTAGCCTTGCTGGCATCGTGAACCCATCCCATCCCTCACCTAGACCCATAAACCCCTCTCACGCTTACCTGAACCCAAACCCACACCTAGACTCCGAAACCCAAACCAAATCAGGATGATTTGGTTTGAGTGTTTCAGGGTTGCTGGTGTTGGGGTATTTTCGACGGTGGACATTAAAGGGAAAGGGGGTTGGTAGTAAAGGAGAGATTCTAGCAGGTGAGCTTCACGGCAGTGGGGCTTCTGGCAGTAAGGAACCGGTGCCAGTGGTGGACTTGGTGGTTGGGTTAGGATTTTAGGGTTTTTTTTTTTAAAAAAAAAACTTTCTTTTTATTAATCCAATAGATAATTCACACATGTACAGTGTGGGGCCCAATAATAGTTTTTTTAGATGGAAAACTCAAATGGTATTGAAATCCAATTTTTGGGTGAAAAGTTTTTTTTTTTTTATAGTGTTAAAATCAAATTTTGAGTTTTTGTGGTGTTATTTTCTAAAATATCTTAAAATTAATTTCAATTCAATAAAAATAAAGTAATTTCAACAAAAGTAAAGTGAGGGGAACAGAGCATTAAACGAATAATAGTTATTTATTTTAGGCAATACACGAGACTTGGAGAGACTAAGAGAGAGGGTCGAGTATGATGGTTGACGGAGGGAGATTTATTTTTTCGAAGTTGTTAGGCCATGTCAGTTAATGTGAGACAATAGGAAACGTTTTGCATGAGACTGAACTCAACGTGAGTTCGTTCTACACAAAATTTTTCCGAGACTATAAATAGTAACACACTAATAAAGTAATAATTAATCAAAGTCTTCATTTCCATTGTTGGCATGTTGAATCAATAGCTAATAGCACTACATGTGAGTCATACCTTCGTTTTTTAATTGCAATGCTTTCATTTTCATAACATTCACATATACAGCATAACTTTACTAAGAAAAAAATTATAATCATGTGTGTGTACGTGATCTTGTTAGATTCCTTTTAGCATATACTTCATGTTCAACTAATGATATTTCGTACTCATTGATACTCGATAAGTATACATTCATGACTGAAGTTATGCAACACAAATCGCTTAAATAAAAACGTTGCAACTAAAAAAGAAAGTGAATAAAACCATAATTTTATTTGTAAACTTCTTAGTTTGTCTTGGCAATAATCGTTAAGTTATTCTATATACTTTGTACTATGTACTATGTTATCTACATGCGAAATTGAATATTCACCAAATATGGGGTAACTAGCTCACAGCCATAAGAAATTTATTGGTGTTATAGGACATGCCACGTTCTAATATAAGAAAACTTCAAATGTGCCTTGCAAAACAATAAAACATGATCAAATCACATGCGATTGATATTTTTTCAAACATAAATTCCACAATATGAATAATTACAATTTTCTCTATATACTACGTATGTAACAAGCATAATCCAATTGCTTGGTAGGGCTTATAGTACGTTAATATTTTCCCTAAAAATTTGTCCATGTATGATATTTACAAAACACATTTATATTATATCTAGTTTAAATTTGGTCCCATTTTTTATATGTATCATGATTTATGCCTAAAAATTTATCTCATTATTTTTACTATTTATTCTGACAGATATATAGTTTGCAACCTTGCATAAAATTCCAATCCCATATTTAGCTTATTCTCGTCGACATCGCCTCCAATTTTTGTATTCTTGTCAATCTGTTATTATTGAGAGTGATTGGTCAATCGTTGTGGTCACCGAACTTTACGATTTCAATTTTTTTGAGTGGTCATCCACTCTATCAAGCTATCGTTAATTTTCTTGTAAATCGGGTACGAATTTCCTCCTATGTTTTGAAGGTAATGCATCATAAGGAAATAATTATTTGTTTCATTTGTTGATTTAATGAGTTAAATGTTTTCAGGTGTCGGGGTGTAATACAGTACATCTTGAGGTACATAACAAGCTTTTAGTTAACACAAGCAACACAAATAGTCGGACCAAAATTTTCTCATCATGGTACCATGTTCATACATATATTTTCGCTTGTTATTACATTTTTGACTGGTTTTGATGTTGATGTTGGAATTACTTATAAATAAAAAATCTCATTGGATAAAGTATTGAGAGATTTAGACTTATTTGTATTAGACTATTAGTTTTAGATTATATATATATATATACTATCTAAGGGTCTGTTCTCATTGACTGAACTCAACTGAACTGAACTGAATTGAGCTAAACTGAACTGAACTGAACTGAACTGAGCTGAAATGAATATTTTATAAGAGAAGGAAATTAGGAGTTGAACTGAACTGAACTGAACTGAACTGAGCTGAACTGAACTGAACTGAGCTGAACTGAACTGAACTGAATTGAACTGAGCTGAGCTGAACTGAATTGAACTGAGCTGAACTGAAATGAATTAAACTGAGCTGAGCTGAACTGAACTGAATTTCAACGTAAGAGAACAGGCCCTAAGTGAGGATAATACATAAAATTAGTACAAATTAAAGAATCAAAATAGCTCAAAACCCCCATGGCCCAGGCCAATCTTCATATAATCTATCTATATATTATACTAAAAGACAAGCGCCTCAATGTGAGGATGACAAATGTCACTCTCTCATTGGCTTATCTTATGTATAAAATATATGTATATATTTATTGTTTACACATTCAAGCATGTTATTTTTTGTTAAACTTCAAACAATAAAAGCAAGTTTCTATACATGCATAAGATTTTTATGATTTCCTGACATAAATATTGATTTAATTTTTTTTATAATAAATATATACTTTCCAATACTACAAAAATCCATAAATTTTTTCCAATTTTATAGTCAATTTAAAGAATAATAACTAATTTGAAGCAAAATGATTAAAGTGACATAATTAAGGAACAAATATTTCGTATTTTGAAAGGCTAATATTTTTTTATGAAAATTAAATAAAATTGATAGAATTTAGTTTGACGTCAATTATGAAATCAATACAAACATATAAAAAAAAAATCAGATGTACAATAAAATATTGTGCACCTATTATAAAAGCTACCTTGTAATGAATGAAAGTTATTTATGCTTTATTGATAAAAGTTATCCAAAATAGTCTACAAGTTATCATAAATTCAATTCAAGTAATTGGATGAATACAAAAGTTTTTGATAAAGATACAAAATAGTGTAAAAATTACTTTTATCATTTGTTGTACTCCTTGACAAATACTGAATGCTGAGCCGAAATGTTGTCTTGGAAAAAAAAAATACATAATCTTGAACATAAATTTAATTTTAATCGGCCTTTTATTTTCTATACAATGTCTTTTACAATGACCTTTTGATTTTCTTGCATAAAAAAAATAAAAAAATAAAAAAATTGAACCAATAACCAATCTTAACAAGAAGAATAAAAATTAAATTGAATTAGACATTTGACGGAAAAGGGACAGATATAAAATGTATTATAACTATTACTCGTGTTTTAAATTGTAATATTCGTAATAACAATGATATTACTTATGAATTTAAAAAGCCGTGCATTGCTCATGTATTATACTAGATATACAACAATCATGTGCAATAATTTATGTTGTTTTATACATAATAATACTTTTAACTATAATAGTATGTGTATATAATATAAAAAAAGTATATGTATAATATAATATTTTATAACACGTGTCCTTCATATTAAGTGTAGTCCCAATCACCACTACACCAATTGGTTGTTGGTGTAGTGGTGACTGAGACTACACTAGGTAGGGAGGACCTGTGTTCGCTCCCCTACAACAACAATCGGAAGGGAAATGGAACCTAATAACCTAGAACTGATCCTCAAATTTGGATTAGCCCAAAGGGTGAACCGGATAGAACACGCAAAACTCAATGCATATATGACGGGAATTATCTTATCATTTATCTATCTTATACAAAACTCCAAAGTCTAATTTTTTTTTTCAAAATATAATAATAACATTTGTAAATTTTTGTTAATATGAAAGATATAAACCTATCAAAATGTATATATAGTTAAATTGTTTAATAACTTATATCGAATGCGTAGTTTTATTAAAATTATTTGCTTGTAATCATTAAATGTGTTGGATGTTGTGTAGCTATGCAATGTCCAAAACTTTAGTTGAGCGACTTTAATTTAGTGATTGTACGGTAAAAAGATATTGACTTCGATCTTGAAACCTAATAGTCTAATAAATTCTAAATAGAAAAATTAAAACAAAAGGAAATGAAAATAGTAAATGACTTTAAATATTGAAATAAACATAACCTTTTAAATCAATTTAGCGAATTCAAGAGACAATTTTAAGGCTTTTAAAATTAAATGGGGGAAAATATATGTAAAAAGAACATTTTTAGATATATAAATGTCCATGCACTGTTATAAGAGTTTTGTTAACCTTTTTATAATTAAGGTAGGGATAAATCTTAGTAATATATACTCCGTATAATTTTATTTATATAAAATTATCAGTATCCATACCTATATACGAAGTATTTGTGTTGTATACTATATTTAATCAGTTGTTGGTTATATATGTGACTATTATATAATATATAGTTTTTGGCACAATGGTTAACTTAGGAAAATATATGTTCTGGTAGGTCAAATATAATGTTATTATTGTGTCTATAGATTTAATGAGTGTCACGGGTAAATAAAACATGTATATATTAGATTGATTGTAGCTACTGATGCGGATGGTATGATAAGAAAATTTTAGTTTTTTCTCAACAGTAGATATAAATAAATTAGTCCACTTCTTATATAGCTATGTGGAGTATTATTCAATTATTTTTCAATTAATAGAATAACATTATAAAAAATTAAAAGAAATTCAAATAACATAAAATACTATTCAAATAACGTTCCTTTAATTTTTTTTTTATTGACCATTAGTAACCAAGTCCTTTAATAGTAAATGAATTACCTTTGTTTTTATTTTTATTTTTCCTACGGGTTTAATAATTTGATTTATAAACCGTGCATCGCACAGACACTATGCTAGTATAATTTGATACTTGTATTTCATATGCTATTATGTTACTACTATTCTATATATTTGCGTTATTTCAAGGCATATATTGACACATATGTCTACAATCTAATTTGCACACCTTGATACCCTACATGTATAAATTATAATGTCATGACATATACAAAGTATATTTTAGACTAACAAGTTTAAGAATATAAATTATGGGTAATTATTTTCCACAATTAAATATCAATTTCACCACATGTCACACTTATCATTTATTTATTTTTTTCCTAATTTTTTCTACAAAACATTTATATTAAAATCATTAATAAAGTTAATTCATTACATGTAATCAATGTTATTTTTTTTTTACATTTTCACTAACTAAAATATAGATGATATAACGTTAAATGATTAGGGCCTGTACTGTTCTCATACGTTAAAATTCAATTCGGTTCAGCTCCTAATTTCCTTCTCTTATAAAATATTTATTTCAGTTCACTTCAGACCCTAAAGACTATGCATTTCATATCTTGCATATTTTAACTATGAAAATGAAGTGTTTTATTTTCTTAAAAACACACCTTAAGAAAAACAATCTTTAAAAATAGCCCGTGCATCGAAAGAGCTAAAAATTAATACGGAGTATAAACCACGAATGCATCATTTTTTTGGTTTGAATTTATGTGTAAAATTGGGGGGGGGGGCAATTAAATTAAAGACAATACATTAGCTTTAAGTAGTTTCATCTATAGTGGACCATAGACCAACTTTCATATCCAAAGCCACAAGGAAGAGGTTGTGTATTGTGATGATGGGTTACATCAAGACATGGTTTTCACTTGAGATTCCATAGCAGATGAGAATCGATCGTTAAATTAAATTACTGAAATGAATTAAGTATACTTCATTTACAAAGGCAATAAAAGCTAGTCCATTATTATTATTGTTATATATTAGTGTGATTGAGACATATTCTGTCTTAAATTTTGGTAATTTTTATTAGATGGGTCTTTCAGCTATTTATACGTACATTCAATGATTTGGCCACATAAAATAAAGAAGAACTTTAATACAAGGGATAAGTAAGCTTTAAGATCTCTTAATAAAGAGGGGAAAAAGGAGAAAAAGGGTTGCAAAGTTACGCAATGACATAAACTTAAAAGCGTAATGAATGATCTGCTTAGCGTGGGTGGATTTGCAATTGGTATAAGCGACCAACCAAGGCAAGGTTTGCTTGCTGGAAATGCCAATTGGGTATCGGATACCTAAATCCTAAAGTCGTTTATTGAACTCTATTATTTTTCTTGTAATGGCCACTATACAGTTATCATTTGCCGTGCTACTTACATCATATTGTACGTGATTAATAAAGTTGATTTGATATGGATAATGACTAGCTTTGTTGGTTAAAGTTTTAGAGGTGGTATTTAAATTACGTTTACATCACTATATTTGATATTTCGTAACTTTTTCTGCTCTTTCAATCCCCCTATGTTATACAAGTACAATATTAATTACGGAGTAACTTGTTATTTTTTTGGTAAGTAGCCATGTATTATTAACCTAAAGTCTTGTATTGCTCAATCTTTATTAACCTCAACACCAAAAACATACAAATTTCACTTAATCTTAACAAGGTAAAAAAAATAAAAATAATGCAAAACTACCCATAAAATCGCTAATTAACCACCCTTAAAATATCCATTGGGTGATTTTTTATTACAACAAGTACAAGAAAACGGCTAAAACCGTTTATTGGCTATGAAGCTATAGAAGAAGAATAATTGCAAGTTTACACCAAATAAGTTGCAACCCTGTCCGTGACCTGGAGATAGAGTGAGAAAAATTATTTTTTGCAGAGTTTCCCAAGTGTAGTCAAAAGACAAAAAATTGCCAAAAACCCCCTCACTCACTCTCTCTCTTCTTCTCACTCCTTTTCTCTCTCTTCTCTCTCTAGCAGCCTCCCTCAAAGTCCTCAACTCCAAGGTGTTCTGTAAATTTTTGTGTCACTTTCACTTTCTAATAATATGGGCAATTCTATTTTTTTTGCAATCTTCATTTTTATTCCACTGCAACTTTCTACAGTTATTGCATTTACAGGTTTGTTTCTCCACTCTTCTTGTAATTTTCTTCTTTTGGGTTTCTTTAATTATTTCCATTTTTTAGAGGGTGGAAAATAGAAATGTGGGTTTATTTATTAAACATTATGTTCTTTAAGTTTTGCCCAGGTTTAGGGTTCAAGTACTCAAATTTATTGACTGATTATGACCTACTTTTGACTGAGAAAAAGGAAAATTTGACTACTTTTTTTAAGAATACTGGATTTCTGCTGATGGGTTGATGCAATTTTTTTTTTTTTTTTTTTTTTTTTGTGAATTAGTTTGAGCTTTGAAGTGGGTTGTTTCTCCAGGCTCCAGCTCAATTGGTGTTGGTGTTATTATGCTTTATTATTGCATTTTTCTGTTGAATTATTGAAACTATCTCTTAATATTTTGTCATATTGTTCAAGAAATTTCATAATGTGGATAATATTTTTGAGCATTATCTTCTAAGTTCTTTATAAAATTATAATAATATTAATGATAAAAAGGGGTCATGGTTTTGGACTATAATGTATGTCAAATTTTATGCTGCTTGAGTGCTTGACAATATTATTACTTTTGGCTGATTTAAAGGTGGTTTGAGAATTTTTAGTGAATTTATAATTTCTGAATTAGATTGATTATCATGCCATTCCAGGAGGACTGGAGGTTGTTATTATTATATGTTAATTTTATCTTTCTCCATACCTAAGAGATGGATTTGTTTGTTGCTGTTTCTGTCAAATTTTAAGCATTATTATTTGTAGATGTCAGCTAGGGTGTTTAGCCGAGGCCTCGAATCGATTCTGTATACATCATAGCCTTTGGTGCTCTATATACACACACACAAAAAGACATTGTTTTAGAAAGATAAAAAGTACTTTCCAAGCTAAGCATTTAGGCTGTGATTTCAGGTTTTTTTTTTTTTATTTTTTTTTATTTTTATTTTCCAGTGTTCTTCTTAAAGTTGCAACTCTACTACATTTATTTGTGCTTTTAGTTATTTTTTTTAAGATTCTGATTTATTTTTTTGTTTGGTGCTGTCTGAGGTGGTACTATTTTGCTCATATACTGTATTTTACGATGTCAATAAATCTGAGAATTATGATTATTGCTTGCCTGTATGAGGCGCTTCAGGTCAATTAGTTTAACTCCTTTCATCTCTCAGGATGCCCCTTGAGCTTAAGTGGAACCAATTTTACTCTGGTGGCTTCAATTTGCTCAACAAATGCCCGTGGAAAATGTTGTCGTCACATCAATGCATATGTTGCACTTTCTATTTCCCATTATGCAAATGCAACAGGAAATCTTGGGGTTAGTTCAGATCTTTCTGAAGTCTGTCTCCAGTCAATGTCACAAACCTTAGAGCTCTATGGAGTGCCTGCAAATGCTACAACTTTTTGCAGATTTGGGACCAAAATTCCTATTAATTATGAGTGCAAGAGTAGAACCAGCGTTGCACAGATGTTGCAGTCTCCAGGCTTTGCTGATGTAACTGAAAGTTGTGAACTTGCACGTTCAGGAGATCGTGGGTGCAAGAAGTGTATAAACGCTAGCCTCACGTATCTTCGTCAGAGAATTGTAGTTCAAGATAATGTTACGTTGATCACTTGTCGAGATGCTACATTTGTTGCTCTTGCCAGTCAATCTGACAATGCATCTGCAGTTGGATTTGCCAGTTGTTTCTTTGGGGTTCCAAGGCTTAGAGCCACAGGTACTTTTTATTATCAATTACAGTTGCTTTTAATCTACAGTAATGAAAGATCTTGTAGTCACATACTTACTGTTATTAAGGATCTCTTAGATGATAAGAGTGACTATGATATCATTTAAATAACACATAATTTATATCTTTGTTTTATAATTTAAACTTTATGAAGAAAGTAGCGTGATCTTAATTACAATTGCTGTTGGAGCTCTTTGAGAAGATATGAATCATGGTCTTTTCTTCCCTTTAGTTTTCCCTGTTGACATTGCACCATTATATTTTGCTAACTTAAGCCCTTTCCCTGGTGTGTTGACATATATCAATCTGTTATGGGATCAATGCCAAAGTGAGCCTATAATTTTTATGGGCAACTTAGAGAATAAATAGAATTATGGGTTGCTTTAATGCCAGCATTGTTAATTTTGGTTGTGATTTTTTTTATCTTTTATATTCATGACACTTAGCTGCTGTCTACAAGGATACCATGGTGTTCTGTGACGAGTACTACATATAAATCTCAGCTATTATGAAAGGTCTTGTATGTCCTATAGGTATGCACTGTAATAGATTTGGGAGATGAAAAGATATTTTGGTTATGGAACAAATTTGATCACGTGAGGAATTAATTATCTAGACTGCGATTATGCTGAATGACAGTTTTTTGAGAAGAGAAGACATTATTGGCAGATCTAACAATGAAATAAGCACTGCAATGGCATCAATGAGAAAGGGGAAGGTCCACTTAATGACTTTCTTTTCCTTCAAGTGTTAAATATTTTTGGCAAAAAAAGGATTTCAGGAGTGCAAGATAGGATCTAATTAGTAATTAGCTAGCTGTGGTATCATTGGCTATACTTGGTCAATTCTTGAGGGATCTGGTTAGCTGCCTGTGCTTTTATCCTTTTAGTCAAAAAGTGTGGTGGATGACTGGATGAGGTGCAGCCTGTCGGCCCTTGTCACTGATAGTTAGAACTGAGAAATTAAGGTTTCTCTTTTGAGATGAAATGGAGTATAGTATTCTTAAGAAAACAAGCCTGGCTATGTTATTTGCTGCAAAGGAGCGGCAGTTGTTACATTTTCTCGATCTTGAACTTGTAGTTATGTCAATCAACTGTTATTTTCATGGGTTCATGGCTACAAGATCTGTTAACTGCTAGGACCATTATTTAATCCCGAGTGCTCCTGATTTTGCTTTGATATTGTCCTTGTAGAAACTTGTCTGTCAAATTTGACATTTGTGCCAACACAGGATTCCTGTGGTTAGTTTCCATGGCAATGTATCGTACAGTGTATTAAACTGTTTATATATTGGCTCATCTCTATTTGTTGGAGATATTGTAACACTCCTTTAAGTCTTATTAGCTAAATGATGAAGTTGTGCTATGCCTTCTATAATTCTCTCAGGCCAAAAGTGGTACTTTATTTATCGTTTTCATTCATTTGACCAATATTTTTAGTGGTAAACATAGCTATCCATCTTCTAGGGATGGACATCACTAATGCTGTATAGAGTGTGTGTCTGTTGGGGGGGGGGGGGGTAGGCACAGGCTTCTGAATCAAGCTGTTTATTCCCTTCTTTTCCTCTATCATACTTCATATTAATTTTACAGATCTACGAAGCATATCTTTTGTTGACGCACAGAAGCTAGATTTGTCTTGATTACACTGTTATGATTCTTATCCACTGTTTATGTCATTACAGTTTCTGATGCATCCTCACCTCCTCTGGCATCTCCAAACCCAGATCTGACTGCGAGCCCAAGTCAGTCATTGGGCATATCGGGCAATTCTCCTCATGAGAATCACCACTCTTATCAACTTACAGCTATAACAAGTGTTGGAATTGGCGTCACAGTAATTTCTTTCATGCTACTTTTAGTCTTAGTATTTCTGATTCGCAGAAAGAGTAAAGAGCTTGATGATTCAGGGGGTAGCTTCAAGAAATCTAAAGCTCCTTCTGGACGGATGCCAGATGGTATGATAGTATTACCAACCAGTTACTACTCTTATCATTCTTCTCTTTGTCTGCCATAGTGCACAAACCTTGACATTCTGTGTTTGGCCATCCTCTTATAACATGTGCTGAAACTTGCTTTCAGGACCTTCTTCCATGTTTCGGGAATTTGGCTACAAGGATACAAGGAAGGCGACTAACAACTTTAGTACAATCATTGGACAAGGTGGATTTGGAACAGTGTACAAAGCTGAATTTAGTGATGGATTGATAGCTGCAGTGAAGCAGATGAACAAAGTTTCAGACCAAGCGGAGGATGAATTTTGTAGAGAAATTGAGCTTCTTGCTAGATTACATCATCGTCATCTCGTAGCTCTTAGAGGTTTTTGCATTCAAAAGCAAGAAAGGTGCTTAAAAGATCTGAAGGCTTATGCATGCAACCACCCACCAGTAGAAAATACTCTCTGTTTTTCTTAACTTGTTCCTCTTTGACTTGCTGTGATTAGCAATGCACACCTTTGACCATTAATATTTTTAAATTTCCAAATAGCAAAATTTATAGTAAGTGGAATTTAATTATCTAAATTTAGACAAATCCAATAACTTTATATAATACCATATTTTTTTATATGACAGTAAATAAAAATGGTCATAGAAGGATGTGTGGGTACTGGGTACTTGGGCAGTGCTCAAAGTCAAAGTGGAACAAGTAAAAAAAATAAAAAATTAAAAGGAGTATTAACACATACTATTTTCCTTTGCAGGTTTCTCGTGTATGAATATATGCAAAACGGAAGCTTGAAGGATCACCTTCACAGTGAGTTTGTCTACTTTCACCTCTCATTCTAGGAGAGTATAAAATTTTGAATGCATAATTGTTTATTTATCAACGGCTTTCTGTTTCTCCAGCTCCAGACAGAGCACCACTCTGCTGGCAGACAAGAATCCAGATTGCAATTGATGTGGCAAATGCTCTGGTAACCTCAAATTTTTTTTTTAAACTGTTGTACACAGTTGGATTTTAGGCTATTTATGGTATTTCTTATCTTGCCTGGTTTCTTACACTTTGAGGTCTTACATGCAGGAGTACCTTCATTTCTATTGTGACCCTCCTCTTTGCCATAGAGACATAAAGTCCAGCAACATTTTATTAGATGATAACTTTGTAGCTAAGGTACTTTTCGACTTGTTGGTCACTTGGCTGTGATTTTTTTTTTCCCCTTTATTTATTTATTCATTTTATGTTTTTATAGGTTGGGAACTTTTTGTGTGTTTTATGTGACATAATTAAGAGTGTACTAGAATTGTACATTTAGATTCTAGTCCTATAGTTTTCTCTCTATCACGATCATAATTTATGGAAATATTCACAGTAATTGTACTTGTACTTTGCAATTGATCCGCTGTTGTGGTAATGATTATTTCATCATTTTCATAGATTCAGGAAGAATGACTTTTCTTTTAACCCATTTGTCCCTCAAATTTGTATCTGATTCAAATAACTGAAACTTGTTTTCTTTCCAAAACTTTACCATGTTGAAACTTCTGTTGTTATCCTCTCCAGGTTGCAGATTTTGGTCTTGTGTATGCTGCCAAAAATGGTTCAATCTGCTTTGAGCCAATAAATACTGAAGTTCGAGGAACTCCAGGTAGGCAGAAACAACAACTTCATGGTTTAAACCTGCTTCTAGAGTAAAAAATTTACATTTTGAATTTCTCCAGGTTACATGGATCCAGAGTATGTTGTCACTCGGGAACTTACAGAGAAGAGTGATGTTTACAGTTATGGTGTGGTGTTGCTGGAGCTGGTGACTGGAAGAAGAGTTATACAAGATAACAGAAACCTGGTACAGTGGGCTCAAAGTTTCTTTACTTCAGAAACAAAACTTTCACAGCTTGTGGACCCCAAAATTGGAGAGTTTTTCGACTATGATCAGCTTCAGACTGTTGTGTCAGTCATAAAATGGTGCACACATTCAGAAGCTCGAGGTAGACCTTCTATTAAGCAAGTTTTGAGGCTTCTTTACGAAATTTCTGACCCATTGCATAGTGGTTTCATCCACGATATGCAAGAAGATTATGAAGGGACCCAAGGGAAAAGACCAAGCAAAGGGAAGGCGCAAAGGGCTGATATAATATTTCATAGTGGAGAAGGGAGATATCTTGCATCTTCTTCCAGTACGAACAGGTCACACTGTAGTAGAAGCTTTCTACTTGAAAATGGATCTCCCCAGTCTCCTCCTAATAATCAATCACTTTAAACCAAGGAAGGTATTTGGTACATGATGAAATTCCAAGTGTAGCATTGTGATGAACAGAGGATGTGACTTCAGAGAACGACGTAACATACTACAGGTGTGTGCGGTTTTGGACATACGCCACGCTTGAGATTCTTTGTAAAGATTTCGCAGAATTTTGTGATTATTTATTTTGTTGAGGTGAAAGAGTTTTTGTTGCAGTATATTTGGTTTCCTACGAACCTTGTTCAGGGGATAATCATGTTTCTCAGCTGTTAGAATTTTTTTGGAATTGTATTTGTATTGAATCGACTTGATTGTTCAAGTATGTATACTGGATATAATTTTTTAGATGCAATAAGCGATTCTCTTAATTGGCTTGTAACTTGTAAGAGTTGTAAGTTTGTAAGTTGTAACATAGTTTCCTCATGAAAGTGTTGTTACAATTATTTGCTTGGGTGCAAGATTTTCCTTGTTTATTTTAATAGTCGATTTTCTTATACATTTTGACAATTACATCAATTCCTAAATAACCCTAAACTTACAAACGTCAGATAAACATCTCAATGTTTATACGACCTTCCTTGTATATACTTCACATTGGAAAATAATATTTGTGTAACCTACGAGTAAAATCATTTCATATTTGTGTAACCTACGAGTAAAACCAATAAATACAAAGCCATATTAATGACGGAAAAAAGAAAACCTATAAACTAAAAGTTATTACAAACACGATTAACTTATAAACTAAATTGAAAAAGACCTCATTTAAAAAAAATCAGAAGTTAAAAAAAAAAAAAAAAAAAAAAAGTTTACCTCCCTTTATCATTCTTCCCCATCCTCAATTCCTCCCTATATCATTTCTTCGTCGTCAAATTTCTCACTCCTCTCAGTTCGCTGTTCTTAGTTCACTGTTTCCTCCATTTTTCTCCCGAATAACTCCAATCTTCAAATTTTAAAAATCTGAATTTAATACTTTGAATTAACTTCACTACAGCAGACAAAGAAAAGGTATGTATCTCCTTCGAATTATCCGATCTTCTTTATATAATTTAAATTATGTTTTCGACGCATAATTGCTATCCGATTGTTTCTATAAATTGTCATTGGTTATTAATTATGCGTCATTCGTTCAATTTTGATATTAGAATTAGATTTCTATTTTGTCATTGAACAAATTGTTGTCAATTGTCAGTATTTTATCTCCGGAATTTTAATTGTATTTCATATAATGTTGGTGTGTGTGAATTGATTGTTGTGAGTACTTTTTTTTTAGAGCTAGATTCAATGTGGTTGACAAAGTTCTAATTATAGCTTCAATTATGGAGAAAATGAGGGTTTTAATCAGTTAAAATATAGAAACTAAGAAGAATTTGTGAAATTAGATATCTGGGTAGGAGTCAAAAGGTGAATTTGGGCGAGGGATTTGATTGAGAGAGGGATTATTACAGTTTATAGTGTGAACTCTATAAGATACAATGGCATACGACATTGTTTACCTAAATCATTACGTGACAATTTTAATATGTATATACAGTAAATATAAAAGAACAATAAAAAGTAACAAGCAAATTAATAACTCAAGAAAGTACACTTTTTCATTACTTTTGTTTTTCAAGTAGAGATCAAATTAAAACAAACAACCAAGGCATCAAGTTGAAACAATATGTCCACCTAGTTTCAAAAGCAAATGCAATCAACAAAATGAGGCAATCATCAACCTTAATAACCTACAATACAGTGTTTTAAAGCAAGTGCAATCGGTAAAATAATGCATTCTTGAAAACGTTAAGTTCCATTCACCCAAAATAGTACAAGCTCCTAACACTTGCCAAACACGGATAAAGCACAAACAATAGCTCCAGCACTTCCAGCTAAAGACCTAAAAGAGAAGCACATCGCGTCGTTATATGAAGAAGTGAAAGATCCTTTTTATCAACAAATACGATACTGTGAAAGCTAGAAAAAAAATGTGCAAACAGGTTAATGGCATGCAAACGGGTCAACAAGCATTTGTGTTGTATTTGTACTATGTACTAATTGGGAAAAATATCGTTCATGCCATTGACTTGTTTGCACATTTTTCTACCTTTCACAATATTGTATTTGTTGATAAAAAGGATCTTTCATTTCTTCATATAACGACGCGATGTGCTTCTCTTTCAGGTCTTTAGCTGGAAGTGCTGGAGCTATTGTTTATGCTTTATCTGTGTATGGCAAGCGTTAGGAGCTTGTGCTATTTTGGGTGAATTGAACTTAACGTTTTCAAGAATGCATTATTTACCGATTGCACTTGCTTTAAAACATTGTATTGTAGGTTACTAAGGTTGATGATTGCCTCATTTTGTTGATTGCATGCGCTTTTGAAACTAGGTGGACGTATTGTTTCAACTTGATGCCTTGGTTGTTTGTTTTAATTTGATCTCTACTTGAAAAACAAAAGTATTGAACAAGTGTTCTTTCTTTTGAGTTATTAATTTGCTTGTTACTTTTTATTTTTCTTTTATATTTACTGTATATACATATTAAAATCGTCACATAGTGATTTAGTTAAACAATGTCGTATGCCATTGTATCTTATAGAGTTCACACTATAAATCATGATGGCTAATGTCGGAATGGATGGACTGCAGGTCCTTGATACTGATTAGTTTTGAATTGAGTTTTGTTGATGAAGTATCTCAATTGTTTCCAGTGGGTTCGGGCATGATCGAGTCTTTTGATGCTCATACGGAGTTAGAGTCCTTGTGAAATAGGAGTATTATTTGCCTTGCTTTCAGCTGGCTTGGATTAGTTGAATGGATTTTTGATCCTTTTTTATAATGTTATCTCACGTAGTCACGTTTGAAACTCTTTCCAAACTGCAAGTTGAATGTAAACTTGTAAATTCACTGCTTGTTAGCTTCTGGCCTTCTAGCATAGAAATAGGTGGCTAAATAGGCAGAAGTCGTTAGGAGCAAGATAAGCTAGAAAGCAAGTTAATAGACTACATGAAAGGACTTTTAGCTTTTGGGGAAATGGATTTAAGGATCCAGGTGTAGTGTTAAATGACGTTCTAATTGTTAGCAAAAGAAAACTCTAACAAGCTGATCATGATTTTGCTCTAAAGCTTTGGATTCCTTTAACAATTCACGATGCTCTTGGCTTCCTTCCATTGTTGTCAATTTGTGGGCTTTGCCTGACAATCACAACTATCATTGAGTATTCATATGATAGTATTGTGGCAAAATCATCAATATAAGCTTTAATGTACCAGAGAGTTTGAGAGAGATTTATTTGAGAGAATTTGGAAAAGTAAAAAATAAATCTTGTTTTCAGGCTTCTTCTTTTTCATTTGACTAGTGCTTTTATCTTTGAAGATGCTCAAATATCTCTCTTTTGAAGATTAACTGTCCAAATTAATGTTTTGAGGTCACTTTAGATTGTTTGATCGCATTGTTGCATCTAGCTTAGTACTAGAATATCTAGTGTTGGCTTCTCAGCTTTCAAAATTGCACACTTCCATTCTATGAATCATCATCTTCATATCTTAGAACTTTTTTGTTACTATAAACTGATTTAGGTTGCCTGGTCACCAGCTAAAGGAGTGTTCTGGCATGAGGCGTTATATTTTTCCACCACCTATACTTGGCAAAGTAGAGATTTAAGGAATTATTTTCTGAATAAAACTGTGTTAGAGTTGAATAGAAGGGCTGATCATGCATACAGTTCAGTTATTGCAGTCTATGCCTTGCATTTCTAGCAGGTATCTCCTCTTTGTTCCATTTTGAAGTAGTTCATAGACTGCTATTGTAGTTTTTTGCACCTAATGATTGAATTACTTTGTGAATTATAGCTTTAAGTCCCAGAGTTGCTGGACCAACTGCAGGAGAGATACTACTGGACATTTTAAATGGACCGAAATCAGAACACGTACTTTTTCTCACTGTGCTCAAAGACCTCATGCTGCTGGAGGATTTATTCATTTACTAAAACCCATCCAACGTACAGCATTGTCAGCCATTCCTAATTCCAATGACTATTTTCCAGATGCTGTACCAACCGATGAAAGCTCAAGCATAAATCATTCTCCCACTCTTGAGATGGAGACTTTATTTGCCAACTGGTCACCTCCTAGGTACTTGTGGAGGGGCTTATCAGTTCTCATTTTGGCAGGGCAAGTAATATACCGGGCTCTCAAGGGTAAAATCCACTGGAAAAACACCCTCCAACAGCTGGAAAGAGTTGGTCCTAAATCAGTCGGGGTCTGTCTTCTGACATCAGCTTTTGTGGGGATGGCATTTACTATCCAATTTGTTCGGGAATTCACCCGGTTAGGGCTGAACCGATCCATTGGTGGGGTCTTAGCTCTTGCCTTCTCTCGTGAACTAAGCCCTGTGGTTACATCAATTGTGGTGGCAGGTCGTATTGGAAGTTCTTTTGCCGCGGAGCTCGGAACCATGCAGGTCTCTGAGCAGACTGACACACTGAGAGTTCTCGGGGCAAATCCTGTCGATTACCTTGTCACACCTAGGGTAATTGCTTCTTGTGTAGCTTTGCCTTTTTTGACCCTGATGTGTTTCATAGTGGGGATGGCAGCTAGTGCCTTCTTGGCTGACAGTGTTTACGGAGTTAGCTACATAATGATTTTGGACTCTGCTCGGAGAGCACTTCGGTCATGGGATATTATTAGTGCCATGATGAAGTCCCAGGTTTTTGGTGGAATAATTGCAATCGTGAGCTGTGCTTGGGGTGTAACGACCATTGGTGGTGCTAAGGGTGTTGGGGAGTCAACTACTTCAGCTGTTGTTTTATCTCTGGTTGGTATCTTTATTGCAGATTTCGTTCTTTCTTATTTTTTCTTCCAAGGGGCAGGGGATTCACTTAGGAATTGTGTATGATCTCTTTCCTGTGGAGTTTTAAGCTTGCAACTCCAATTTTCGCCAAAATACATTTGTTGCTCTGCATTAGAACGAAAGATTTGTAAGAAAGGCACATTGACATTCTTTCCAGTGCATTTTACTGAATATATTTGTAATTTGTTTTGTTTTCTGGAAATCTCGAATTTGTGCACCTCAAACAGGGTTACAGGGAGAACCCTTCATGAAAGCTGTTTATTTATTTTTTTCCTTTTCAACTCCAGAATGTTTGCTTAAAAAACTTCTTCTATCCCTTCTATTTATTTATTTATTTATTTATTTATTGTTACGGGATATATATGAGGGTACAAATGTTTTATTATTCAATTTCTACTTTTAATTAATCAACAGGAAATTGGGAAAGTGAATTTGGTAGCTGCTAGAATGATTCCATTAGAAAATAAGATACGATAGTATGAAGGATTCACCTAACGTTCTATCCACTTATTGATATGAACTTATCTGATTGCATTAACCTTTATTTGTGCTTAATTTTTCATAATTAAGTGTAATTAAGGTAAATATGGTATATGACAGCGTAAATCTTTTCTTTTATTGTAATTTTTTAAATTGTTTTTTTTTTATTTTTTCTGTGAGAAAAGAATCAAAATTTTATGGTAATAAATCATCTATTAATCCTACCTCCCCCTTATTCGGAAACACATGATAAGGTCAAAGAAAAAGTAAGAAAGCAGACAATAGAAAGAGGAGCTTTATCACTTTTATTTCATTTATACTTGAGCAACTGTGCCAACAATCTGATACACTACCATTTTTGGAAAACACAAAAAACCCAAAAAAATAAAAAATTATAAAATTTGTTTTCTAGTGTCAAACTTAAATACCAAGTATCAAATTCCAAGGAATTCAGAAATTTTGAATTTTGATCAGTTTCAGGGTTTTTCTGTTTTGAAACTCAGTTTTGGGTTTCTGATTGCCAAGTTTTTTCATGTCTTTCTCTATTTCTCCCCACCAACTCAGTTGCTGTCCTCGTCTCCCACCAGGTTCTTCCCCTTCTCTCTTTCCCCCCCCCCCCTTTTTTTTTATCTAATTCCTGCTTTCGCTTTTATGTGTGCACGTGCGTATAGTCATATAGGACATTGCTAGGCTTTACAATTATGGCGTATGTACATTTATTGTGTTACGTTATTACTGTAATTAGACGATTCCTGGCACAATCTCTGACTTTGTTAATATTACTTGGCCAGAATATTGTAGAATATCCTGTTCTATAAACAGAACAGCTAATGCTGATATACAGGTAGTGTAATTTATCATTTCAATCTTCTACATTCTTACAGAAATAAACTCCGTATGTAAACTAATTAGATATGTCAAACTCGATAATCAGAGGTTTGAGGATGCCAAAGAAAGAATACGAAACATGTTTCAAAAAGCTGAACTTTCAATATCAGCTTATGACACTGCGTGGGTAGCAATGGCCCCTTCTCCTGCTGCTCCAAATACTACTTGTTTTCCAGGGAGTATAGACTGGATATTAGAGAACCAGCTGTGTGATGGCTCATGGGGTGTTCTTGATCATCGTGATACTTCTCTAATCAAAGACTCGCTTTCTTCCACACTGGCTTGTGTCCTCGCGCTCAAAAGATGGTCTGTAGGAGAAGAACAGATGACAAAGGGTAAACTCTTAGGGACTTGCTGCATGAATTTCTGAAAGGAAGAAACTGAATTTTATTTTTTTTTCTCCTTTGGCAGGCCTTGACTTTATTGTGTCACATTTTGCTTCGGCAATGGATGAAGAGCAGCATTCTCCGATTGGATTTGATGTTATTTTTCCTAGTATGATTGAGAAGGCTCTTAATATGGAAGTGAATCTTCATTTGGCGCCTTCAGATATCGATGCTGTGCTTCGAAAGAAGGATTTAGAGCTCAAAAGGTATGCTGTTTCATTCCAGTTCTCGTATTTATAGCCGTGAATCTTGTGATGTTTACACTTTACAATTTACATTTAAGAGCTGTCAAACAGTCAAAATCCATGCAAGTGCAGTTTATACTGGATGATTAAGTTCTGTTCTTTCAGAACAAAAACATAACATTTCTCTGTATTATTGACAGAATCCGTGGAAAGGACTCCAAGGCAAGGAATTTATTTTTGGCATATATTTCGGAAGCAATGGGAGGACCACAAGACTGGAAAATGGTAATGGATTATCAAAGGAAGAATGGCTCTTTGTTTAATTCACCATCCACAACAGCAGCTGCTTTTTCTGCGCTCCAAGATCCAAATTGTTACAGCTATCTGTCTTCAGTCTTGCAGAAATTTGCAAATGCAGGTTACCTGCTTATTTCTGCTATGTCTACTATATTAACATTTATGTATTATGCTTAAATTTTACGGTTTTTTTGATTTTCAGTCCCAACTGCATACCCACTTGATGCATATTTCCGGCTTCATATGGTTGACACCCTGCAAAAATCAGGAATCAATGGGCATTTTAAAGAAGAGATTGCTTCTGCATTGAATGAAACTTTCAGGTACGATTTGAGCATGTAGTATACGTGTTGGTCAAATAACATTTGATGAAAGTATGGAGTATATCATTAAATTTGGTTCTAGTTGGTATATTATATAACCTGTGAACTTATTGTTAATGGGCAGACTGTGGGAGCAAGGAAATGAAGAGATATTTTCTGATGTCATTACCACTAGGATGGCATTTCGGTTGCTACGTGACGATGGATATGATGTATCTTCAGGTATGTTTTTATACTTATCATTAACCTGGTGTTTGATCTCAATGGTAATAAGATATTCTATGTATGGTTTTGGTGGTGATAGTATATACTAGTTATTGAATCAACATGCATTTTTTCTTGTTTGTATAGAACTGTTGGCTGAAGTCCATGATGAAGACTGCTGTTTTCACCAATTCGGAGGACACTCAGAGGACATAAGATCTGCCTTGGAGCTCTATAGGGCATCTCAACTTAGAATTTATGCTCATGAATCTTATCTAGAGAAGCAAGCAACAAATTCAAGGCACTTTCTTGAAGGGAAAATCTCTGAACATTCAACACTAGCAGACAGGCTCAGAAAAAATCTAATCCAAGAGGCAAGATGTTCATATATGCATGCCTTTTCTATAGAACATCAGAGGCGTCTCTTAGGCTCATCACCTTTCTGTTTCACAGGTTGCTGACAGCCTAAAGAGCCCCTATCATGCAAATTTGGAACGCTTGCAAAGCAGAAAATTCATCGAACATAATAACTTGGATGGAATAAGGATTTTGAAGTCTTCTTTAAGGTAGAAATATGATGTTTTTCTGCATTTGTATCATGTTTGACTCATAATATTGTCGTTTGTATTGCCTATCTGTTCTTAAGTGTTCATGACGACACACTTCATATCTCAGCTGCACTAACTTTTGCAATAAAGTTCTCCTACAACTAGCAAAGGATGATTTCAGCTATTGCCAATCCATACATTTCCAGGAATTTAAACAACTTCAGAGGTATGAACTACCCTAACTTCTTTTATAATTTTGATCACAACATCTCACCTGTAATGTAGCTTTCTTATGTTCTCATCAAATGCTCCAAAATTATTTTCCATTTGAAAGCAGATGGCTTGCAGAGTGTAAATTGGACCAGTTAGCCTTTTCTAGGCAGAAGCTTAGTTACTGCTACTTTTCTGCTGCTGCAAGCTTTTCCTCCCCTGAACTAGCTGATGCACGTGTTTCATGGGCAAAGAACGGCGTTCTGACTACTGTGGTTGATGACTTCTTTGATGTTGGCAGCTCAGAAGAGGAGCAACTAAATCTTATTCAGTTGTTTGAAAAGTATGTGTTCTTACCCTACTCCCTAGACACACAAGCCACAACTCCCTCTCCCCCTAAATTGCATCGATTGATTAAAAACCAGCTGAAATTGGCAGGTGGGATGCAGATAAGAGAATCCAAACCTGTTCGGAGAATGTTCACATCATATTCTCAGCAGTCCGGGACAGCATTTGTGAAATTGCTGAAAAAGCATGTACTTGGCAAGATCGTAACATAACTAATCACTTGGTTGAGATTGTAAGCTTTCATATCTTCTTTGTTGCTCTTCCATAATACGCAAGCCATGAGACGGGGTAATGTTTAATCTGTTCCTTGGGACTGATTGTGTGACAGTGGTTGAGCCTTGTAAAATCTATGTGGAAAGAAGCAGAGATAGCGAGGAACAAGTCAGTACCTACAGAGGAGGAATACATGGACAATGGCTACATATCTTTTGCCTTAGGGCCAATCGTTCTTCCAGCTCTGTATTTCATCGGTCCCAAGCTATCTGAGGAGGTTATTAGAAGTGATGAGTACCATAATCTATTCAAATTGATGAGTACTAGCGGCCGCCTCCTCAACGATTACCAAGGCTTTCAGGTAAGTCACTTAGGTCATACTCATCTCCAAATAACAGGATTAGCCTAGTTTGTTTGCTTTTGTTTAAAAAAGATTAATATCTTGGCTGTTGCATCAGAGGGAAGCGGAGGAGGGGAAGCTTAACGCAGTGTCCTTGCGCATCCTTCACGAAAATGGAACTATAAACAAAGAAGATGCTATTGAAGACATAAGACAGACAATTGAAGACAAAAGAAGAGAGCTGCTGAGAATAGTATTGCGAGGCAATGTAGGTGTAGTTCCAAAAGATTGTAGGGAAGTGTTCTGGAAAATGAGCAAGGTGCTGCACTTTTTCTACATGAAGGATGATGGGTTTACTTCTGATGATATGAAAGATGTTGTAAAGGCAGTTCTTCATGACCCCATTGATTAAGCGTAAAATACAGTATTATTTCATTTGAGAAAGCAAAATAAGGGGAAGAATCAAGAAAAGAATTCTTTCAGATTTTTGTATTGATTAAATTCAACTCTAGGCCTTCATGTCCGTCTTAAGCCCGTTATTAAGTCATTAAATCACAAAGAGCTAAGCATTGCAATATGATTATTAAGTGAGATTTTGGTTTTATTTTTGAAACCTAAAAAGCAAAGCTATAGATCATATTCCCTTAAGTCATTGGTTACTTATTAAAGAATGCTAATAGTTTAAGTCATTGAAACCAAAAAGGCATGATTACCCAAAAATATGCCAAAAAAGGAAATCATATTATACAAATATTCTTCTAAAGATTTTGGCAAGAAAATATTCTTTGCTACTACTATGCAGTTGTCAAGGCAAGATCAAGAACAGAAAAATAAAATAGTAGCACAATAGTTATAACAGTGAAAGTTCACCGTGTTTCCAAGCTTAACATGCTAAACATTATTAACAATAAACAAGATACACATAAATACTTATTACTTTAAATACTTCTGCTTTCTTATCTAAATTACACGATACACCAGAGATCACAAAGAAATGGACCATTAGTCTTCCATCTCTCTACTAAATCGAAAGTTTGTTCTTAACCAACTCCGCCTCATAGGTCTTCAAAAGTGTATCCTTCTTTGCCAGTTCAGAATATAGCCTGCTGAGTTCTTCCTCTTGAGCTGCAACAAAAAACACACTATTATCAATAACACATTCAGAATAAAACTTGCGAAGTAGAGAGTTAAGCCATGTTCGTTTCAACTGTATCGAATGGAATTGAAAATTAAGGACAAAAGAATAGGACAACAGGGTATTAGTACTCTACCTGCCAAAACCTTAAGGTTGCCAACCTCCTCAACATCACCAACACGAAAATTGTTCTCTGTTTTAGATTCCTTTGACACATTCTTTTTAGTCCTCCTGCTGCTTTCCTGCTTTTTGTTTGGCACCACTCTATTCCAGGCTGCATTTTAAGATACGCCTGATAAGATTTACTCAAGACCGCCAAACATGATTGTAATTATAAATTTAACAATTGTATACAACAGTGAATATAAAGAGGAGAAAACAAACTGTTCATCAGCAACTAATAACACAAATGTAAACAAGAATAATGAGAGAGGGCTTCAAGCTATGTAGTAATCAATAACAAATAATTTCATTCAATAAACACCATTAACACCTTATTATGTAACACAATCATGCTCAAGTTCAGATGCAATAGCAATTAAAAAATCTTAATCTGAACACAAATCAGCAATTCAATTGCAAAACCATACATATTGACTGCAGTATTGAACAAATTTGACATCTCAGAAGTCAGAACAGCAATAATAATAGCAATGCACAGCAGCACAGGCAGATTATGCTTCATAGCACAGCTATCAGAAGATATCATGTTGAAAGGCCTATCAATGCATAAACTCATATCATTACTTATCACAATGTACCCGACAGAGTAACCAGACAGCTTCCGATTCTTGCTGACTGAGCAGTTCGTAGTTGAACTGTGCTCAACATGTACAACGTGATCTATACTCGCCAAGTTCGATAACCTCTAGCTCAAAACGTGCTTGTCAAATTGGGTCATTGCTCGTCTCAAACTCGTTATAGTAATTGGTGAGCTCAAACATAAAAAAAAAAAAAAAAAAAAAAAAAAAAAAAAAAAAAAAAACCCATTTGAAGTTTTGTTTAATTACAAAAAGTTATTTCATAGTTCAGCAAAGCTCAAGTATTCAAGTCCATGAAACCAAGGCTCATACTAAGGTCCTTACTCCTTAAGACATTAATAATCTGATAGTGTAAGTTAAGATTTTTTAAAAAAAAACATGAATATAACGCTCGAAACAACTTGACTTGCCGGATGCCTTCCCAAACGTGTAGATCATACCATCAGCCACAAACGCACAAGGAGATTCCTTGGAGGCATTGAGGGAAGCAACTCGGTCAGAATCGTTCATGTCAAGGACATGTACAGCTCTATATAGGTCTTCGTCAAGCTTATCAGATTTAACACCTCCAAAGAAGTATAGTTTGGATCCGAGATTAACGAATTCAGTACGGTATAGAAACTTACGCTGAGGGAAGATTACCAAGAGTGACAACACTTGAAACCCCTCAGAATCAGAATCGACCTCCAGATCACTTGGTAGGTCAATCGTATACAGCGAATGAGGCATCTCATCAGTTCCATGCTCCACTAGTAGCCAAATTTTTAGTTGCGATTCATTCATTTTTGATGCCTGAAGATATTAATTATTTTATTGGCCAATTCAAAAATTACATAAGTAAATATTGATGAAAATGCTAAAAAATCAAATAATGAATCAGGTTACATTAATAAGTTGAATTAGTAGATCAAATTAGAAAGAATGCAACTAAATTACTTGTAATGCTAAAATTGAATTCTTAAAATTGAATTATCAACATAGTCGCTTGTAATGATCTTTCATAATCTTAGTATTTAGAACCAATAGTTAAGATTTTCGAAAAATTTGTGAAGAAGGTCCTTTTAAGTAGACCTTTTTGTGACAAAGGCCCTTTTATAAAAAAAGGTGACACAAAAGGTTCTTATATCATGTTTGGGTTATGAGGAGGGTCCTTTGACCATTTTCCGACGTTGATTTTTTTATTTTCCGGCCAAAAAAAATCACACTTAAGTTCCCTTTTTTCTCCCTCCTCTTTTTCCCTCGTTTTCCGTTTTATTTCCCCCCTATTAAACCCGAATTTCTGAAAATAATTAACACTAAACTATAATTTTAATTATATAAATTAAAATTGAAGGATATTCAAAGTAATTCAAGGCTAATCCTCCCCACAATGAGAGAAAACAGAGAAAAAAGGGAATTTAATAAGTTACGTGCTTTACACGTGGCTTTTTTTGGCCGGAAAATAAAAAAGTTAATGCCGGAAAATGGTCAAAGGACCCTCCTCATAACCCAAACATGATTATCCATTTTCCTCAATACCCCCTATTTCCACTTCTAATTTTTTTTCCAGATTATCCATTTTCCTCAATACTACAAAAAAAAAAAAAAAAAAACAATAAGTTACCTATTTTAATATATCTACCAATATTACAAGAAATCTATATTATTATTTCACAGTTTTTCCTAACTTTTCCGCATAACACGTCAAAAACAATTGTTAAAAAAAAATTTTAAAAAAAATTGGATAACTTTTGTATACACCCGGTTTTCAGTAATTTATTATACATCGGGTACACTTTTGTCAGATTTAGTGTCACTTTTGTCAAATTTAGTGTCACTTTTGTCAAATTTATCAATGAAGCATAAATAACACTTATATATGTCAGGGTAACTTTTGTGCGTTTAAGTGTAACTTTTGCACATTTTATTGTCACTTTATAATGGATGTTCAGTAATTTACTGAATATCCGTTTTATTTAAAAGTTTGTGAAAAAAATACAACCACCATAAGATCCACTATTTTCCTTAAAAAAAAAAACAATTGTTTATATTTAATCCCTCAATAATCACCTTTTTATTAATTCAATAATAATCAAAATCAAAATAGCACATTTTCTATTTGGCTGGCCACACTAACTAGCTAGGTGACCCCTGTCGGAATAACCTTTGACTAAGTAACCCCTGGCTGACTGAATAACCTTTGACTGAGTAACCCCTGACTGAGTAACCCATGACTGACCGAATATCCCCTGATAACCCTCAATTAACCGAGTAACCTCTAATTGACCAAATAACCCCTGATCGAGTAACCCCTAAGTTAACCGAGTAACCATTGACCAACTAAGTAACACCTAAACAAATAAACCGGCCACATGGTGTGGCCAACCACATATGAAACTTTGTGAAACAATATATACATAATGTTTTCTACCCATCCCAATGATTTTGTTTTGTTTTGTTTTTTTTTTAACAAGGAACCTCAATAATTACCAACATTTCTGTTTGTGTTGTTTTCTTTCGCGTATAATATAATCTGTGCAAATGATAAAAAAAAATGAATAAATAATCGTGCATTAGCGTTAGGTTGGTGGTTTTTTGGGGGTTTGGCTGGTGATGGGGATTCTGGGGTTTGGTGTGTTTTTTTTTTTAAGCCAATTCACTCGTGACATATGTCACTTTTAATTTTTTTTTTTTTAAGATTAACCCATTAAACCGGTCACCGGTTTTTGGGATTGAAGAAAAAGAACAACCCCCAAAGTTCGGATTATTCCATAATAAACCAAAGTTGGGATTATTGTAGCAAAATTGATGAAAGTTGGGATTATTATTTCTAATTTTTCCTAAAATTTAACTTCCCATATTTGAAATAGAATTTTTGTAGGGTAATGCTAATTTACTTTCTTTTTAGTGTTAAGTTGGGAATTTATTAACAATTCACGAGTAAATTGGTGCATTAAATGTTAATTTTATTCCTATTCTTGCATATATCTTTTTCCTTTTTGTTATTGGATTTTTTGTAATATCATTCTATAAAATATATATCTCGTGCATTACACGGGTACATTCTAGTTACCTATAAAATGAATTTTCATTCTATTCTTCTCCTTTCCATTTCCTTAACCTATTCGTATTTGCTTTCACACTCTTCCCTTAACCGATTAACAAAACCAAACTTCTTGAACACACCACCCACTAACCCTAAAATCCTGTCGGGAAAATTCAAGTTTATCTCTGAGATAAACATGAAAAATATCTCCTCTCACAATATATTATTTTATTAGTAAAGTGACCTAGGAGATTAAGGCCCTGTTCTTTTGAGCTTCTGGGCAGAGCAAAGCAGATTTCAGCAAAGCAGAACAGATTGAAGCAGAGCAGAATAGGGCAGAGCAAAGCAGAGCAGGGCAGAGCAGAGCAGATTGAAGCATCTATTTTTAAGTACTATTTTTAAGCAGAGCAGAGCAGAGCAGATTGAAGTAGAGCAGAGCAGATTTCAGCAGAGCAAAGCAGCTCTAAAGAACGGGGCCTAAGTTAATCTCTAATCTCAAAGATTAAGTTGGGCCTCCATCCAGACATCAAAACACACCCCAAATGTATAATTTGCAAAAAATGATTTTTATAAGAGTTGTTTGGTAGGACCAGTGAAAGAAAGGAAAGGAAACACCTTTGAGGTAAAGGGTTTAGCGTATTGCGTA